CTGTTGATTTACATGACGGAAACGCCGCATGCGGCGACCATCACTGGCCACAACGATTTCAAGAATTTTTTTTTTAAATGCAAAAATTATCCACGCCAACGCCGGCCATACCACGTATGACGGCCTCACCTCAACCATTTCCAGTCGGAAGGACTACATCGGCAAATTGTCAAAATATTTACGATTGAATTGACCGAATTAAAAGATTTAGGGTCGAATTAGCATCCGTAAAACATGTCTAAGATTTTTTTTTTTCGGGGGGGAATTTTTCCCTCCATGCTCTTGGGAGAAAAGTCTTGATCCCGTCAAATATTCCGAAAATGGAAGGTTGTCGCTATTGGATGAAGACAATGTTTCCTCGAATGCTTTTGATTCTTTGGATTCTCGAAGCAGTTCCTCCCACGGATTTGGAAACTAAAACGTCAACTCTCATTATACAAAGAAGGGGGAATAAAGCGAAGGGGCGGTTTGGTTTACCGACGGGTCTAAACTGAAGTGACATCGGGCGACCTAGTCATCGTCCTAGGATGTTGTGATCTCCTTTGCATTGACAGATGATGGGCACGTATCTTTGCTTTTCTGATGTCGTTGCAAAATGACACTTTCGAGTCAACTTTTGTGTGAAAGATAACGAGCTCAAGTGCTTTCGTTTTCGAAATGCGTCGTCGATGATGGGCGAGCGAGTCGGATTTGAGCGCCTTTCTTTTTTTTTTACTCTGCGTAGACTGCCCGAGGAAAGCCATCTCCGTGTACTTGTTTCTCGGAAAGCCGCACGATAAAGAAAAATATTTTTCGTGAAATTTAATTTGAAGGTAACGATTAGTTTTCATTTGTTTATGTTAAGGTTGTTCCGTATCGGCTGTAGAAGAGGCTGGTGATCGATTTTATAAGTATGAGGGAAAGCTTTACTTTTTGAATTAGTTTTTTGAGACGAGAGAGGCCCGAAACCATCCAATATTGATATCAAAGCTCAAGTTTGCCAACAAGTCTAGTCACACGGGAGAGATACGGGTTGTTGCGGTTCCGACCCAGGACCTGATGTGTGAGGGGAAGATTGTTAGAGTTAGCTTTTGAGGTGAGATAGACCTAAGACCACCTAACGGTTTTGTGGTATGCCGAAAATGATTTCCCTACTTAGAATTGGGAATTGTTTTCATAATTGTAAGCATGGATGTTTCCGTTGTTCGTTGACTACTCATTTTCAATTTACCAAACGCGTGAAAGTTCGGAATACCATCTCGCGGAAAACTCTTTCAACGAAACAAACATACCCTAAGATGAGATAGGATAACTTTGACGATTTGTAGGTGATTATTATACGTGTATATTTTTTTTCGCTAAATATATTACACATCATGCGTTAGGTCTAAAGGATTAGGTAATCAACGGGCGCACGAGATAGAATGAAAAGGAGGGTGTGATAAACAAACCTTAATTCATGGACTTATCATGAACGAACGTTAATTAAAATGTCTTTAAAAGAATCGGCTCTGGGCACCAATTCCGTGCAAATTATAGATCGCCTTACATCCTCCTGGAAATTAGTTTATCTTATACGTAATTAGAGAACGCTTTATCAAATAAAGACGAATGTAATTGAGTGGGTGACTATTTTCCATCGAGAATTAACTCTTTCTAAGAGACGCAATTCACCCATCGATCGGATTGACGACGGGCGATCATAAAGGATACAAATGCAATCGATAGCCATTCAAATATATCGATGCGTCATGAAAGTTCTCGACATCCGTAACGTGCCTCAAACATTGCCGACGCAATTGTTCAAGCGACGATACCCATTCTCGAGCACGTAAATAATTCAAAAGCCGGGGTAGCGAGCGATGGGACGGGGCGTCCCTTTCATCTTTTAGAAAAAGGCCCGGTCTTGAGAACTCGAGACAAAACCGATATCACATCGGCACGGCAGGGCGATGTTTTAGGCGGACATGGGACAAGATCCATCGTGTCCGTAGGATCCAATATCGACCTACGACCAATCAGAAGCTGTCCCGAATCAATTGAAATCGGGGAACAGTTCTCCCACATGACGATCCGTGCACGAAGTCCGTGGGGGTGTCTTCACTCCACGAGACAAGGGAAGCAAGTCATTGGGGCCCCGACGAGGCCCAATGCTTCGAAACGCCAATGTTCAGATGAGATTTCCTTTTGCTGATTTTGATGGCCACATCGCCAATGTGGGGGGTTTGCATGTTGGGCGCTTCCCCCAGATTTTCGAATGGATGCGCGATTTTTTTTTTCAGTTTCGTATCGCGGTACGCTTCCGAGACACGTGATATCGATGTAGGCGCGAAACGACAAAGGCTGATTGGATGTGCCCGGGGTGGATCGATCTTCTCATTGATCGAGTTTGTACGTATATTGTCGTACTGAGGTCGATCTCTGAAGTAAATGGAGAAATCGATTATAAGTGAAAGATACCGATTTAGAGAAAGTAAGATTATAATTACTCCCATTAAAATTATTAAGTAAATATATGCGCACGGTGAATCTTATGTGGATTTATTTGATAAAATTATATTGGGTTAGAGGACGAGCAAGGAATCTTGCAATGTAGAAAATGTGAGTAATTTATAGTGTCTTGTGAGGTAAATTGTTGTTTTCTGTCTACTCACCGGCAAAATTAGTGATTGTTTATTCTGTTTGGTGTGGTCGTGGGGACGGATTGCTCAGTTTGGTCTCTCTGTGTCTTGTGGTCCCTGAGCCATAATTATAATCGAGGATAAATGCATCGGAAGTTCTAAATTTTTTGCTAAAGTACAATTAAATTGTAAGACTTTCAAAATTGACAATCAAATCCTAAAACTTATCAAATTGGTGTAATCAAGTCCATCTGTTAACTCTGTTCAATTTGATCAAAGGAAAATGCTGTCGCCCCCCTTTTTTTTTTATTTTTTTATATTCCCTTCTCAAGGCATGTCATGTTAAATCGTTGATGTGGCATTTTTGGTTATTTTTTGATAAGAGAGACATTGATATGACATATTCTTTTTAATTAGTCTAGTATTTTCTTCTTCGGCCTAATTCAAAAAAAAAAGCATCAACTTTAGGTCGATGGACAATTCTGATCCGAACTTTTTTTTGTTTCATAAAAAATCACCAATTTTCACCATGATCCCAAATTTGGCCCATCGTTGACTTTTACCATTGTTTGAGAAAGAAGGTTATGGTGGTGAGTTTGGCGAATCTTGTCCATGGCGTCTGTCAACATGCGCTGGTCAACTTCAGATTACGTCTGGCTAGAGAGATTCAATCTGGAGATATTTTTGACTTGCCGGTAAAGTGAAGGGGACGAACTGTTTCACCGTTATTCTTCAAATTGTGACTCAGAGAATAAGACAGTGAATATTGCTTTAAATGCAGTCAGCAAGCCACGTGGATTTATTGCTAAAGTGGAATAGTCAAGGTAGATAATCAATGGTTCTAAGTCAATGGGGGTCAGATTTGGGATTTAAATGAAAGTTGGTGATTTTTTACGAGACAAGAAAAAGTTGGGGCCATAATTGCCACTTGACCTAAAGTTGGTGTTTTTTTACGGGACAAAAAAAGTTCGGGCTAGAATTGTCCATCGATCTAAAGTTGGTGCTTTTTAACGAGGCAAAAAAAAGTTCGGATTAGAATTATTTCTCGATCTAAAGTTGATGTATTTTTTTTAAATTCACCCCTTCTTCTTCCTTCGAGCTTGAGCTTGAGCATGAGCTCTTCAATGATTGCGAGCATTAAAGCCAAATTTGACCATCAACCATAAAACTTTGAGCTCCAATGGCAACAGCCGTGGCTGCAAAATTTGAGTTGGAGTGGCTAAGGGCTATAGTCGCGAGCTTTGATGCTAGATCTGGCTAGGGGTGTGCAAAAAAACCGGGACCCACTCGGACCGCCCGGAACCGCCTGGAACCGGACCGGGAGCAGAGTCCGGTTCCGGCCTCCAATTTTTGGAACCGGTCTTGTTTGGGCCGGTTCCGGTGTGAAACCGCCCACCCGGACCGGACCGGTAATATAATAATAATATATTTTATTTTTTTAATTTTTAATTAAAAAAATCTGACCAAAAAAAATTTAAAAAAAAGAAGAAAATTTGTTATCATGTCTGAAGCTCTTGTGTAGTTGGGATACTTGGTCATTTTTCCCAATAATTAATGGGTATCCACTTGATTTATGGATGATGTGGTTAATATAATCGATCATAGTGTAGGAATTGTATGAAAAGTTATGTTCTTTTCCTTTTGTTCTGTTGATCCGATGTTGGTCCACAGATTTTTTTTTTATTTGTCTAGGAAAACTTGTTGAGACCGGTTCCATGGACCCACCCGAGAATCGGACCGGACCGACGGTCCGGTTCTCGGGCGGGTCCATGGAACCGACCGGCGATTCTCGATTCCAATTTTTGGAACCGGTCCTGTAGCGGGCGGTCCACGATTCCGGGGTGGGAACCGCCCACCCGGACCATGCACACCCCTAGATCTGGCCATATCGATCGTGAGCTTCAAGATGAAACGGCCATGACAGCGAACTTCGACCTCAAGTTTGAGCAGCCACGGCAGCCACGAGCCTCAAAATCAGATTTGGCCATGGTGGCCATGAACTCAAAGCCATAAAATATAAATTTTATGCTTCAGTTATTTTATGCTTCTAATCTCTCCATTGACATTATGATTCTTGTTTAAAAAGTTGTTAATTTACACATTTGTCTTCAAATTAATGTACTCGAAAGTATATCGTTGACAGTACACTGAAAAGTAAAAACTAAATCTTAATAATTCCAGCTTTACATGCAATAAACATGTAAATCACAAGCCAAAAGTCATATAATAAGTTTTGGCTGCTTTGTTGATTAATACAAGGTAGTTACTGTAAAGTTAAACAAAATATTTCTGGATCTCACATTAATAAATGAAATCCGAATTAAGCAAATTTACTAATCCTCAGAAAACAAAAAAAAGAAATCAGCTTTTAAAATAAAACAAGCAATTTTGCGTCAAAAAAAGAAAAGAAAAAGAGCCCGGAAGCGCGAGCGTCTTCTTCCTTTTCTGCTTCCAGCCTAGGGTTTCGATTCGAATCTCGTTGCTCCGCCTCCGTCGGCCGAAGACCGCCGCCGCCGCCACCGCCGCCGCTTCCGGCGATCCGGAAACGCGCGTTCCGGGTAGCAGAATCGCAGGGCTAGCGAGCGATTCCGGGCATAAGCGAAGAGGGAGATGAATCGCCGATACGCGGATCCAGCGGTACAATGACTGGTGTGTCGTTCGGCCTTCGCACCGGGAGTTATGGATCGCTGCAGCAGTTGTCCAATGGCGCGCCGCAGAACCAGGCCGCGCCGGTCCTCCTGCGGAAGCCGTCGAAGCTGGGCGTGCCGGGTTACCGGGAGAAGGAGAAGTTCCTCCCTTTCGTCTGCCGGTACTTGGGCCGGAAGAGGGTCGCGATGATGCTCCTGGTCGCCCTCGCCCTCCTCGTTTTCGTCTTCGGCTCCTTTACGGTCAATAAAGGTTCGCCCCTCCGCCTCCCTTTTTCCGAAGAGATCACGGCTTGCATCTTCAATTTGAGCATGAATTTTGAATTCAATTCCGGCGTGTGGTTACTCTTGATGTTCCGTGATGAGGGTTCGGTGGGTTGGCTCTTGTTCTTACCTCTTGCTCTGGGATTGTTGTTTGAGAACGATGGTTGTCTTCCTTTTGCTACATTGCGGGGTGGCTGCTTATGGGTCTGCTTGAGACTCGACGTGCTTGATAATTTATTTGGCCAGTTCTCGTGGTGCATCCCAATTCTTCCCAACCAGGGACTTCGTTCTTTATGGCTCCTTCAACATGAGCCATGATCCTGCTTATTCTCTTGGCCTTTTGCCTTCTCTTTGCTGTTTCCATCACTCAACTCCTCTTCACTCGTGATGCGTTCACAGCTTTAACGAACATTTGTTTTACACGGTTCGCTGTTTACCTTGTGAAGCGCAGAAGGCAGCGGTCCTATAATAGTTCCATACACGGAGAGCACGGTACCTTTCGTTGAGAAGGCATCGGGCCATACTGTTGTAATGCATTTCCCTGGGTTAGTAGATAGACAAAAGGACAGAGGTTCCCTTGGACGGAAGACTGTGTCCCGAAGCGGTCGAAGTAGAGCTCAACCTCCTCCAGTACCTGCTCTTTTACATCGTCGAAGTCCTCGACCTCATCCTCTTTCTCATTCTGATTTGACTTCACCTAATTCTGGCTTCACGGGTGCTGTCCCTATGGGCCATCAGTGCAAAAACTTTGCTTTTCCTCCGCCACCTCCTGCTTATGGGAAACGGATTGGACCCCGGCGTAAGTCCTAATTCTTTTCTTGTTCCTTTTTATTGATATTCCTTTATGAATTGGAGTGGACCCTCTTAGAACATTCCCACTACTGTATCTGTATTCTGTTTCTTAATTGAAGCAATAGAGACTCACCCTTTAGTACATGTTTTGATTATACAAATTCTGTTGTCTTGCTCAATAATGTCAGCATGTCCAGTATGTTACGTCCCTGTGGAGCAGGCAATAGCTAGCATGCCGAGTTCCCCAGCAATATCTCCAGTACTTCGTAATCTCACGTACGTTCATGATGAAATTCCAGTCAAATCTGAACAGCATGGAGGTTCAGATTTTGGGGGATATCCATCTCTAACCGAAAGGGATGATTCCTTCGATATAAAGGAGTCTATGCGAGTGCATTGTGGGTAGGTTGTCCTACTGCTCCTCAGTTTTACTGCACTGAATATCTGTAAAAGTTTGATATGACTTCAACTATTACTATCCTTTAAATATCATCATCATGGTGTCATTTTGTTGCTAAAGCGACCTCACTGATGCCCAGATTTGTCAAAGGTCATAAGCCTGGTCTTCAAACCGGATTTGATATTGATGAAGCTGACTTGGAGGAGATGGAGCAATATCATGATGTCATTGTTGCATCAGCTATATTTGGTATTGTCCCACGCACTAGTCATTGAAACTTCTGTACTTTATACATCTACCATCTCATATTCTTGTCTCTTTTACCTTGTCCTAGGAAATTATGACATAATCCAACAACCTCGAAATATTAGTGAAGCTGCAAAGAAAAACATTCCTTTCTTTATGTTCATTGATGAAGAGACGGAGGCATACATGCAAAATTCTAGTGTGCTCAACAGTAGCAGGAGGGTTGGATTGTGGAAAATCATAGTGGTTCACAACATCCCTTATGCTGATGCGAGGCGTAATGGAAAGGTCAGAGTGCTATTCTATCAGCTTGACTATTTGCTTTAGTGTGTTACGAAGTCTCTCTCTTTCTAAGTTAGTCCTTTTCTCAATCTTGAAAGCATCATTGTTCATTCAAATGTCCCCACATTTACAATAAATAATATAAAGAAAAAGCTCACGTGATTGCATAAGACAGTTATCCTTTTGTTTACGTCAGTTCGAGGCAATGGTTAATATCGTGGATGAAGCTGGATTCCATTTGGTGCTTGTCATGTTATCTAGTATGAATATGGTCTTTTAATTGGAAACTAGTCATCTGCTTGAGAGAAGTAATTTTGGGATGCTCTTGCTGTTTACACTGAAAATGCTAAGATTCAGATGCTAAATTTGACCTGGCATGTAAGTTGGCAGGTCCCAAAGCTTCTTTTGCACCGGATCTTTCCTAACGTTCGGTATTCCATTTGGGTTGATGGAAAGCTCCAGCTTGTTGTGGATCCCTATCAAATCCTTGAGAGGTAATTCCAGCTTATCTTTCCATGAATTTTTTGTATGGAGGTCCTCAGGGGTATAGATGGTGCTAATTTTAATGCCCGTTATATATTTACTAATTTCCATCTGGATGGTGCGAATAGAGATCTTAGGGCAGCTCCATCTCCTAATCTATAACTTATACCGACTGAACTTCTTTGGACTCCACATGCTATGAACCTTATGTCTAGTTTAAACAAATGGAATGGGGTGAAAACAGAATGGAGGAAGAAATTACAGTGGACTGGAATGGAATTGATATACCTCTTCCTATGTTTGGCTGCGATATAGATATGACCTGGAACACGAAAGTCATTAGAGACAAATGTCAGAGGTTCAAGAGAAATATAACGCGAGAGTTTGGCTATACATTGTATGTGTGCTTTTAACTTGAGAATAGAATTGGCATTCCCATTGGACTGCCCATTTCTAGTGAAAGTTTTTGCGAACTATAGAGGGGGATGGGAGCTGGAATTCTGATTCTATTCTGCCCAGTTCCATTACCAATACAGCTTTGTTTTTACCGGCGCTATGTATATTGCTTGATGGATATTTTTGACATTTAAAGCAGTATAGAACATTTCAGGTCGATGGCATTATTTTTCAATTTTCTAGTTTAATCAGTAAATTTTTATAAACATCCTATTTTTTCGGGAAATAAGGCACTTTGTACCGGTGTGGAGTTAATGAAACTTTTTTTTGGAACAATAAATAAGATTTCATTAAGAAGGTACCAAGGGGTAACTGCCCCTATACAAAACGTTACTGAAATTTTTATAGCAAATGTAATTGCTAGTTTAAGTAAGTTAAAGCCTTAGAGGCTCATATAAGATATAACTGTAGGTTTGATGTTAGAATTTCTTAGAATGTATTAGTTTGTATCTTCCGTAGAAATATAAGCTTGGAAAGTTTTCAGCCTCAACACGTTGGAGAACTCTATTTTTCTTCTTTTCCTTCTCTACCTTTCCTCCAATTACCAACAATAGTTGCTGATTTATAGCTGAGTGTAATAGGAAGCCATTTTATTCGATTATAGTAGTTTCACGAGAAGTTTTTAGGTGATAGGAACACAGGGAATTATCTTTTCTTGCTTTCTACATCTTTTCTGCTAATAACAGTAGAATAAGGGAAGATAAAATTGTGTTGTTGCAGCTGAGAAAACACTTCGATATTTCATCTCCATTAGTTAGTCGAGCTAAAGTGCTATATATTGTTCTTACGTGTTCCTTTTAAAAAAATATCCGGAAATGGTGGTCCTGCTGGAGATTGCCTCTTCGTGCAGCTAGTAAGGCAAGAATCAATTGATGTATACCTAAGGGATGCAAGTCCAAAACCCAAAGTGATGAAGTTGTGAAATACTGGATGTCACAATGGAATCTTGAGGCTGTTTCCATATGCTTTTGGTCCCTTAATCCCTCCTTATCCTTTTAAGTACTTTCCTTGGCAAGTGACCGTAGTTATTTTACGGTTATTGAATTAGTACTGCAACATCTTGCTCTCATCGAAATTCATTACTTATCAAAAATAAAAAAGTGGATAATTGCCTATTCGGCGAGACATTTGAGTCATGGGATCTTGTAGCCTGTGCAGGTCAATTCGGTCATGAGCAGGCAATAAGTCCGTAACAAGTGCCTCTAGTTCATTTGAAGGCATTTGCAGTACTATTCCATTAGCTCATCTTGAGTCCTAGAAGAGACGATAATGCAACTATCTTTTCCTTTTTTTTACTTTGTTTTTTTTTTGGGGGGTGGGGGTGGAAGAATTTACCTTAAAAACTGCTGAATACAGTTCTGTCTGTCTTTGGCACTGCGATTCCTCAATTAAAACCTTTTCTTAAATTAAAAACTACCCTCTTTCTGTTGCGAAACAGAAGTCGACAATTGTTTTTTAAATTGCGTTGAAGTGAGAGCAAAGCTGTTTCATTCTTTCAAGATGATTGCTTCATCTTGGTTGAAATATACTTGTCATTAACCTATGAATCTTTTTGCCAAATACCATGTTCCATTTTTACTGAAAGTAATTGAGGGAATGGCGTAAACTCTCACCTAGGGTGCATGTAGGTGTGTGACATAAAGGAGTCAATTAATTTCGTGTATGACTTTGTTAGCTTTTCTGACGTCGAAGTTATTCAGGTTGCTTAATTCTTATTTTAATCTGCAGAAGTTTATCCTTTTCAGGTTCCTATGGCGTGAAAATGCTAGTTTTGCAATTTCTAGACATTATAGGCGCTTTGATGTCTTCGAAGAGGCTGAGGCTAATAAAGCTGCGGGAAAGTATGACAATGCCTCTATTGATTCTCAGATTGAATTTTATAAAAGAGAGGGCTTAACTCCATATTCTTTAGCCAAGCTCCCTATAACTAGTGGTATGTGTTGTTGCATTTTATTATTGGGATGGATGCCTAGATTTTTTTTTCCAAGGTTTTGGTAAGATTTTGTATAAGCATATTTATGAATTGATGGATGGTTGGGTGGTGCAGATGTTCCTGAGGGGTGTGTGATCATGAGGGAACATATTCCTATTACGAACCTGTTCGCCTGTCTATGGTTCAATGAAGTCGATCGATTTACTGCCAGGGATCAATTAAGTTTTTCCACAGTGAGGGACAAGATAATGGCAAAAGCTAATTGGTCCATCAATATGTTTATGGATTGTGAAAGGCGTAACTTTGTGATTCAGGTACCACCATATACGCTGTCAATGTTCATGTAGTTAGGATAAGCAAACATCATAGCTCGGTTCATCTTTGATGGTTCAGGGCTTTCTAGAGGCTAATCCAAATTATTTTGGTATGGCAGTTTTCATTGATGAGCAATGATGGGGTATATACAGTAAAATATTATTCGCACCACATTTTTTAAATGAACTCAGTAGCTTCACTGGAATAGTGTTTCTTGCCCTTCTCCCTTCTGCTCTATGTATTTTACTGGTGAGGGCTTACCTCTGTTTGGGGAATTTGCACTAATAGGAATCCAAGGGTTGGTCTAAGTCGAGAGAGCTTCCTCACAAACCATGTTTCACAGTTCTTCACTCCCACCCTATGTAACTAAAAAATATACGGAAGAGAAGAAAAAAGGGAAATGTCCTCCAATGAGCACCTTCAAACAGTGGTACTCCTATTGTCTTTGATGAGTTTTGAAGCTCTTATAACTGCGTTTATGGTTCATTGGATGTTCTAGTCAATAAGTGGGCTAACAATGACTGCTTAGATGATAAAGACAGATAGTCATGCTATTCCTGGTTGTTGGATCTGCTCATTTGGAATCTTATGTTCTTTGTAGTAACTTAAGTATGTAGGACATTACCTTCACCCGTCCCGACATCTTAACATGGTAACTTTCTTTCGCAGGCATACCACAGAGATCTGCTGGAGCACATGCCGCCTCCAGCAAGTCCCGCAATACGAGCTCGACCGGCTTCGACCACCATCAGTACACCTGGAAGAAGAGCTCCCGTGAAAAAGGCTATCAGCAGCAAGCGCTCAAGGAGCGATAGAAAGCCAGGCTCAAGGCGGCACCGGAAAGTCACTGCAGGCACTAGGGACAGAAGTTCCTCTTGAACTTCGTGTATATTCTGATTCATTCGTTCATTTATATATTCTGGGAGAGGAGGATTTGTTTGAAGAGGCATAGGCTGATTGCGGAGCTCAGGAAAAGCTCAAAATTTTTGAAAGTGTTGATATCTATTCACATTTTTTTTTGTACATACACTTGATTCCAAATAATTATACCACCTTCTGCCCGTCAGATACTGAGTGCTTTTCTCATTCTCATATCAGGATTGCCACTGTAAAGAAATGGTTCCGCTCAATTGGTATCGACACTACCAATGGTACTGACAAATTTGACTGGTAAATTCATTGTTTTGTAGGCAATTTACCAAGTTATTGCCGAAACAATCCGCGCGTGGCTCTAGACCTGCGTAATTTGTCTTTTATCAGAAAATTCAAAGTGCGTGCAACACTGGCATCCTCCAGCTGAGGGTTAAGAATCTAATAATCTAATGGCCAATGAAACGCCCTGCGCTGAGCTGTCGAAGTCACCGACGGACTTTGTATTTTGTTATCGTCGATTTAAACAAATCACCAAATTGCAGATTCATGATTGCTCTTTAGAATATTCACCTACAAAGTTGAGAAAACTGAGGATGACCGGTGGCCTGCATGATCCCGATGCTTCAATTCTCCTGTAATGAACACTGTTTTATCCTACTGAACAGATCAGAGAAATCTGAGCCCCACCCATCAACTTCATGCCTCTCGTAAATATGAAAGTTCAATTTTTTTTTTTTAGGCTTTGGTTGTTGATAATTTGTCTTCAATTGGCAAATTCTTTAAATTTCTTAGCGACTGCCCTCGTTTTATGCCATCGCAACTTTATTTATTAAGCCAAAGGTTGTCTAGTGCTTATTATATTGGTCTGAAGCAGCCCTGAACTTCCTTGGCAGGACAAGCAAGGAAATGACCGGGAAAAGAAAGGCATTTTTTTGCGTGTGGGAGGCATCAAGAAGGAAAAAAGCAATCTCCTTTTCATCGAGAGGGCATTTATATTTCTCTTAAAAATTAAATCTTAGTAGCTCATCTGCGGGAAAAGATGATTCGGGTTCCGGTTAGGAAGGCAATACGTTAGGATACAACGTTGTTGTTCGAGCAGTCACCTGGGTAATATCTCTCTCTCTCTGTAATAATCATCACGAGACTCGAACGACTTGCCAATAGGAGTCTGAATTTCGATAGAAAGTTTGATCATTTGTTGCTCTCTCTCCTTAAAGATACGATCTTGCGGGGATGATCATGGTCCGTACCTAAAGGTCGTTGTTTCAGCTCTGGTATATGGAGTCGTCCATCTGTATTTTTTTATGAAATTCATGGGATTTTTTTCGCCTGTATGTCACTGTAAGGCTCTTGAATGATGCTCGTAAGCCGGATGTTCGTATGGTGTTTGTTTGTCGTTTGAGCTTCTGATTCTTGTTACAGGAACGTTGGCCGTGTGGAGACCGAGGCGATGAACGGCTGGTGCTTAAATTCTGGGCTGAAAGTTGGGATCTTTATGGCCTTTCTTGTTTTGGATGAATAGGGTTTATGTGGTTTGTTGGTATCTCCTGCCACTTTCATCAGTTTGTGTTGGCGTCTGAGGAGATACAGAATTGTTCGTGACTCGTGACTTGTGAGTGTTTACCAGTGATGGGTTCTTCTGGGTTTTTCTTGATCTGTGCACTCCATTCTCTGGTAGCCATAGCTTGTGGAGGTCTTATGATGTTCTACTCCTCCGAGGTTTCACCAATGAAGCTTCAAGGATCTACGCCGCATGATCAACTCTTGATCAGAACCTCAGATTCCTTTTCCGGTTTGCTGCTTGTGGCTGTCGGCTTCCTGCTAATCATGGTGGGATTTGTTAAGGACAGGGAGTTCCAGAGCTTCTTTGCAAAAGGGTGTGTGCTCCTCCATGTCGTGACCGCCATTTGGAGGGTTTACTTTGAGAGGAAGGTGGATGAACTTGCCAATGAGTGGCCGAGGAAGGTTGTTGGCGATATTGCATTAGCAGTTTCCTGGATCCTCTTTTTGGTGTACTCATGGAGGGAAAAGTATGATTAGCTTGGAAAACTGGATTGTCTATGCTGTGATGATAGGGACTCCGAAAATTCCCTGGTAGGCATGGACTGCGATTGCAAAATGCTTATACAATCGCCCGGTTACGCTTCTTTTGGCATGAAACAATACATTGGAACTGGAAAAGAACGAAAAGTAGGATATTATGCGCTTTTTAATTCCTGGATAGTTTGGTCATGTGATTTTCATCAGGCAGTTGTTTCTACTAAAATTCCGCACAAACTGGAGGATGCCCGTGTTTTCATCTTGTGCGCAGGCGTTTCAAAAATCTCGGGAATCAATTAATTTTCGTTATCTTGAAGATGGGTCAGAGGTCGGAGTTTGGAGTGCTGCCATCATTTGCTTAACGTTGAGAAACTGTTTTGTAGATTTTATTTACAGATAATAGCAACGAGTGAATAGTGTCCTAACTCACCATCAGTTGGTGAATTCATGTTTTAGCGGATACTGCTTAAATCTTACAAGTAGAGATAAGGGTAATCTGTGCAGTTCTGCCCGTTTGCTTTTAAGTCATCCAAGAGGATCAAGCTTGTTTCCTCAATTGAAGTTCTTGTACATTCAGATTGACTTCTTTGTCAAAACATTCTCTGTCATGCCTTTGTCCACCTCAATACAAAATTAGCCAATTACTTGCAATGCTTGTGTTTTTAAAGTGTTTTAATGCTGTTATATGCTCGTTCTTTTACTTAACATGGTGGATGAAGGGTTTGGGAACTAGGGATTTAGCTTCTTCACTCAGCAAGGTGAAGCTCATGAATCCACTAACACAGTTCCAACATACTATTTCCAATTGCAGACAAACACTTCAAACATTGCTTTGGACATGTTGGGAACATGTTATTGTAGTTGCAATATTTGCATTAGCTTTCTGGCCTTTGTTTGCTACTTCTCAGTGTAGGGCTGTCAAAGTCGAACTAGCCCATTCTTGTCGGAGGGTAGTCTTGCAGATGTTAGGATGATTAGTTATGTTTAGACTTATTACTTGTGGAGTACAGACCAACGAACGTGTTGTCTCCATTTGAGCCCTTGATGGGGCCTCACGTTGTCTTCATCAGGTTATAAACATAACTCTCAGGTGAAGCGAGTCAGGTTCATCTTGGACGTTCTTCAGTTGATTTGATCCATAAGATCCAAAGAAGAAATAACAAGGAATTTGATAGTAGTTTAGATACCATTCACTGGGCGTCATAAGACTCTGCATCTCCCAGGCAACAATCTGAATCATCTAGCATCCTCATATTTAGTGAAGTGGGGAAGGGGGCTAAGAAGGAAAAACACTGATACATTGAATTTATCCATCCAACGAAGCAGTCATCCGCATTCTTCTTGCTATATCCAGACTAATACCAATTCAACCCAATTCTGTAATACAATTTCAGTTATTAACAAAGAAGTACTCATACAAGTGCAGGGCTCCTTTGAGAAGCAAATCACAAGAGAACTCAGTCCATCTGTGATGGCCAATGGGTCCTTGTAATTCGGTTATGTAGCCCATTCGCAGCTCAATGCAAAAGAGAGACAGAGAGAGATATTTTCCCCATAGCATGTATCAGTTCAATATCTATGGCTCAAGCCAGGAAAAGGACTAAGCCTGAATTCGTCTTGGATGATCATTAAGTTCCATTGACCTTGATTATGCAATCTTCCATCATCTGTTTTATTTGAAGTATGTTTTGAATGTTTTGAAGGTGTAGAAGAAGTTAATTCTGATGCTAATTGCTAACAGTTGCTTGGCAACAAAAGTTTTCCAAGTATCATGATCTCTTTCAAGGGGCAAATCATGTACTTCGAAAGGTTCGTTTAAATAATCCTACTCTCTTGAGGACAAGGGGACCCCTTTATCAAGTCAGTTGCTTCGATTTCTGATATATCCTGCTTTCTCAAGCCAGCACATATCTACTTTCTTTTTGTTGTTAATTTTGAAATCTGCATACAGTTTCTGTCATTGCCTTTTGGTTTCTCAAGTTCAATGATGGATGGAGTTTCCTTATGGAGTGCTTCTTCAGCCTGAGCTCGCAGGGTCAAAACATGAACAAGTTGCAGCAGCCAGCAGCATCTAGTGAAGAAAAAGATACTGTTCTGGTCCTGACACTGAAATGGCTAAGAGATGAATGCAATTTGCAGCACGGTGAAGGAGATGCATGCATAAAGTATTTGAGTCTCATCTCAATGCTTTCGAGTGTAGGGCTTTCATGTCTTAAAGCGGCTAAGCTGAAGACGTATGGAATGAGCTGATATTATTTACAACATATTGATGGAATGAAAATGCAATATATATGCGCGTTTACGCATGTTTTGGTTTGATATGGTTGATTGCCTGATCATGACCTTCGGACTATTCTCTCATGTATCTATTTATGTTCTGCTTTTTCTGTGAGGTGTGCTTATGAAGTAGTGCAAACTTGAACTATTGCGTTGCTTTTGATTTGTTATCATCTTCTCGTGTTGCGTTGTCAGTTTTGGTGGCCGACTTCTTCACATGTTCTCATGAGTTTTCTGGGTGGATTTACTTCTAATGAAACGGGAAATTCATACATGTTTTCACCTTCCGTCGCAATTGACATTTTTTTCATTGGCTAATAATGACAGTATGTCCTCTGTCTTTCATATTGACATGTCTGACCTGTAATGAGGGTATGCTGACAATTATCTCTTTTCTTTTCTTTCTTTTGTTTCTTCCTCGGTTTCCTTTCTCCGTCCTTCTCTTAATTGAATTCTAGCTTGTGCAGCCACAAATTGTTTAGTTGCTTTCCAGATTATTCAACTGACTTTTGTGTGGGCCAGGAAAAGCTTAAAAGGAAGCATCCAGAGTTTCTGAAATCATCATCTATTGCTCCTGATTTTCGCTCGTCAATCATTAAGGCTTTGGAAATAATATTTGATAGTATGATCTCGACGATTTTATCTTCTGTATGTGAAATACCTTTAAGCTTAAGGTTTGAATTTTAGCACCCTTCACATCACCGTAGATGCTCACTCATCACGCAGGCACAGATATTGTATTAACAAATCTGAGGGGTCATCACACTAACTAATTAATTAAAGGCAGAAGTCGAGCTTATACTAATATTGGTTCATTTATAATCGAGCCACACAGATGGTATTACACGACATTATTTGTGTAGCATCTGCCATGATGCAGATGCATCAGAAGAAGCACAAAGGACAGTACAGACGACATTAAGATCACATCACAACCACATAATTAGTAACTTCCACGGAACATGCATATAACATCGGGTTTCTGTGCTCAGAGACCACAGGTGCAATTAGTGCAGGCGCAGCTGCTGCCGCACTTGCACTTGCCATCATTCTCATCGGCCGGACCATCCATGAAAACAGTCTCGACGTAGCTGCATCAGTAAGGCAACCATCAGAAACTGAACACAAGTGATGATGACCTATCTTGACACTTAATAAGGTAAAAAGGAAAGTCATCATTTGCGGGGCACTTAAACCAGGTAATCGACTTTCAGGAGAAAAAAATTGAAAAAGTTCGAACCCTTACGTCCTCAGCAAGTCTGAAATCTCAGGTTTTCTTCTTTAGAGTCGTGTAGAAAGAGATCTTTCACATTAATGATTGTCTTGCTCGAATTAAGTTCTAATGTCATTCATATTGCTCCTTTATCGTTGTTGCTGTGTTTTGCAAGGGTGCGTTCTCATAATTACGGGTCTCCGCCCACAACAATACTAGAACCATCTTACTTATTCCTAGAAAAGAAAAAAAGGTAATTAATCATGTGAATTTGGGAATTAGAAATCAAGAATTTTATCCATTTACATATTGGATGACTCCTCATATCCTCCATAAGAGCTAGTTCTTACTAGCCAGGAATTTCGATGAGGACTTGTGTAACTTAGTCCAGGTGTTGGAGACTGTATATGAATTGACCCCTTTAAAACTCTAGTTCTCGAAGCAGAACAGTACCTCTTCTCGGTCTCCACGATATCAGCAGCGTAGCTGCTTCCCTTCTTCCTGTAACCAAGAAGCATAGTGTTTTTATTGCCAGTATAAATGCAAAACATATGTAAGAACCCCTAACACGCTTCTCACTTCCAGCTTAATAACCAAGTCTATTTTGATGAAACACAAAGGTAGTGCAGATATTTGGGAAGCAGAACCATGTGCATCACAGCTTCAGACGAAAACACATGTTTCATGGATTGTCAAAGCCGAGTGCACCACGTTTGGCTATATGATGAGTATGCCTACTGATTTCAGTTTTCCGATGGGGAAATGGTATAGCGAGTACTTACGTGCACTGGCTCGAGTCAGAGCAGTCGCAGTTGCTGCACTTGTCCGACATGGTGATCGAGTTTGAACACAGGAGATGAGCTTGGGAACTTGTATGTGAAGGTTTCTGCTTTAGCTATGTGACTTGCTATATCTCCAAGCTCTGCTATAGCTCAGTATTTATAGATGAGAGATCAGGAGGCTCCGGTGGAGGTTCCTGTCGATGTGGGGCCACGGGAATGGCCCGCGTGGGACCCAAACTAGGCATGGGAGTAGCACACGCCATTGAAGACCCGTCCAAAGGAATCTTAATAATGGAGGGGTGGCCTCGTTTCCTCCGCTCATGTCCACATCAGAATCCTTTTGGGGTTTGAGAGATCAGGTATGGACTTGCGCTCCTCTCTTATCTTCAGCGACTATCGCTTTTCCATTTTGGCCACCCACTTTGTCAAAACCCGGCAAGCAGCCGGCTTGATTTTTTCTTGGTTTGGATTTTTCCATGGAGGAAGATGACTCGTTCCCTGTCCACATACCGCAGAAACGACGTGAAGATGGATCGACTTGGGTCGATCTTGTATTCTAAGCTTCGATATAACAAGAACGTAGGTCGTTTTGTGTTGGGCACATCAGTCATAGAACAAGTTTATTGTGCCATGTCGATGAACTCCAAGTTCGTCGACCTTGGATAGTTTACAGTGCGATGAAATTATCATTGTCTTGGCACCTACGAGCCATTCAAACGTGGGGGACAAGTGTCGTTTTATGCCTTGGTCCTTTTGAACTCAAACCTAAATCGAACGCCACAGAGAACATGGATTCCAGATGCTGTGGTGTGTGCGTACGTAAAGCATAAATTCTAGTTGAGTTCTGTTCTATCCATCCAACTGTGGCTTCGATACTACTCCTTTTGCTCTCCTGCGACATTAAAATATGTCTGAGTAAATAACAAAGAAGGGAATCTGAGAAAGGCAGATGTTGTGTATGCACACGCGTATGTCTCAGTCCATTTCTTTCTAAGAAAAACTCTGTCGTCTGCCAAGAAAGCGTAAATATTCCCAGGCATTTGAGCATTTTCCACTCTCATCTTCGTGCCATCGTCTCCGAACTATACTATCTTTTCGTATCGTTGCGTTTCGAGGATACCCCAATTCGACATAGGCCCGAAAGTGCTCGACTGGTCCGTGACCTCCTCTACAAAATCATCGTAGCATTAGAGTTTAATCACCAAGAATTCCCTCTATCAGATAGCTTGAACAGATCAAAACGTATCCTTAAGATTTACTGGAAAAAGAAGGCGGTCTGAGGGATCACTTTCTTCCTCCATGAAAGCTCTGCCCTAGAATGGGAAAAGCTTTATTTTCGAGGGCGATTGATTTTTATAGCGATTGAAGGCCAAGTTTCTTTTTCTTTTTTGTATGATGTGATCCATTTGACAATAGAGACCATAGGCTGGAGACTAAAGCATGACGATCATGGACTGGTGGGATCAATGAGTGTATAGATAAGAGCTCCCATGTCCTGTGGTCTGTACAGTGTCTCCCTTTTCTCTGGTCTTTATCACGCTCGCTATATGCAACAGCACCAGCAAACGAGTAAAAAATATGAACATGCACAGTGGAACAGAGAAAGGTCGAGGGAGGTTCCCCTCTACTGTTCCTCATAATTTCATTACGTCACTCCGCACTCCGATTTTTATATATATTCGCTCCGATATTAGTTGTATTTTAAGAGAACATATCTTATGAAGTGAAAGTTACGAATATCATCCTCTCTCTCTCTGTCAAACATCCTCTTCACTTCTGTTTGGCTAAAACACTCCGCACAGTGTTCTGACAATATTACCATTCGTGGATCTCACTTTTTAGCATCCCTAAGCCAGTGATTTAAGAAAGTGTTCCCTTTTTTTTGTGGTGTCCCTTTCTTTTTATTTGTTTATTTTCTATTTCTTTTCTTTGTGGGTCCCATATCCTCTTAGCTTAATTTTCTTCCTTCTCTCTTCATTCTCTCTCAAGCGACAGAGAAATGGAGACTGAGAAAGGTCATGTACTTGTGCTCGCATATCCTGATCAGGGCCACATCAACCTGCCCACTAGGACGTCGACGAAGGCCTCCGCCTCCTTGACCACTATCGCCGCCGGGTCTACCGATCCGACTCGCTCAACCTTAGCAGAGTAATTCACGCTCTTTGCGATGCCAAAATGGTTCGAGGAGGCCCATCATCGGTTGTCTCTCCTTCGTTTCGTCTGTTATGTTGTCGCGACGAACATGATTGTTGCTAGATTACTCGATTCTTGCGAACCACATGGCATGTTGCGGGTCATTAGGTGTTTGGCTGATGTCTAGCTCGGAATATGTGCTCCTTGACTAATTTTAACTGCTTGATTGATTAGTGGTGCTATATTTCGAGACTAGGTTATGGGCATAGGGTGTTTCTAGATATGAGGAGCAGGGGCATCGGCCGAGCTACGTATCTTAGACTACTTTGATCAATGGGTAATGCTGTGGGCCAAATAAGGGTTGCATAGAAGCTGCTTGATGAAATGGTTGAAGACGGTATAAGGCTCAATTCTTTGGAATATATCACATCAGTCTAGGGATTTTTTCAACAGCTAGATGGGGAGAAGGCGGGGAAATTGATTCTCAAGCTCCAGGAGGTAATGAAATGCTAAGACGACTTGCTTGTGAGCAACGCTAATTTTGCAAATCTCACTGATTCCTTGTGTCAAAGAAGATAAAGTGTTTCGGATTGCGGAGAGTATATGCCCCAAAACCATCACCCTCAGCCTCTCCATCACCCTTCCCAACTCCTCCTCCCCATCGGTGCGAACGACTCAACCTTTGCCAGGCTCATTAGATGCAGAGTGCACAATCTTCTCATACCCCACCAATATGCGCCACTCTCCGTGAACACGACCCCCTTATTGCTGTAAGACATGTGACGCAGAGCCTTTACCCAAACGGCTCGAGAAGGTGCTGTCGTGGTTCTTGAGGACTAGCTCAGCCACCTCCACCTACACAAGCATGGAAGTCTTCATTTCTCTGCCTCTCTATTACTTTGAGTGGTACATGAGAGAGAACGAGAGAAGAAAGAAGATGAAGGAAAGTGAACGTGGAACCCATAAGAAAAGAAATGGAAAATTAATAAATAAAAAGGGCACCCGACAAGAAAAAATGGAACGGTTTCTTGGATCATTAGCCGAAAAGGGATGCTAAAAGGTAGGACCCACAAAGGGCAATATAGCCAGATTACTGTGTTGAGAAGTGTTTTAGCCAAATAGTGAGTGGAAAAATCGCGGCCCTTCACACTTACCTTCCTCGCTTTTTGTATTGGATTTCAAGTTGCATCTCACACGTACGCATAGGCTAACGACGTCCTCCATTCCAAATTACCATGTCCTCATCATCGGATTTTCACTTTATCAATATAGATTTCGGGTTTGTTCGAGTATGTTTTGAAATGTTAAAAGGGTGGTGCTTGATGATATAAGAAATAAATGCATTAGAGGTCCATGTAATGTTCCAAAATGTTCCGTCTACGTCTATACTTACAGATTTGTAAGTGCGTATGTGTATGCACAAGATCAATATACTGACCGATCTCATGGTACCCCATATAAGATATTCAAAAATGGCAAAAAATTTCTTATTTCAACTTTAGGCAGAGTCTCTAGCAAATCTGATGGTTGGGTTTGGGTTGTCCATACCATGTCCATGAACCTTGATCCCAGATTGGTCCATGGGCCAAAAAGTGGCCACTGGACCACGTTCACTAGACAGATTCCATGTTGGCCCAACCGCCCTTTTTGGGCCCAATATTGTCCTTTAGCTGGGCCAAATGGGCTTTAGAGCCACTCCAATGTCGTTGACCCAAAACGAAGGGTTTGCAAGAACCCTCCCCCAAGTGCCAAATACAAAAACGATGTGGGCTCTATCAAAAAACACACATCCAAGAAACCCCAGATCACATCATCGCATTCCCCCCCCCTTTCATATGCAAGAAAACACAGAGGGTCGAACCAAAATTTCATACCAATTCGTTCGAAACCGCACCGACCTTTCCTAACAGCGAAACGGTTTGACTTGATGCGGGTTTGGTCAACGAAGGAGATTTGAAGGGCAATTACGCGAGTGTTTTCTCTCCGGCTTCCGTTCTTCGGATCAAATTCCTCCTCCGGAAATTGAGAAAAGAAGGAAAGGAAAGGGAAGGAAACGTGGGGATGTTTTCGGAAAAAAAGGTTTGGTTTTTCCCCCGCGGGACCAAAAGCCGAAAAAAAAAAACAGGACTTTATCCGATTCATGGTATTCCGCGAAACCTCGGCGGGTCCCACCCATAAATCCTTCCCTTCCCGTGGAAAAAATTCGGTCCATCTTTGACCGTTTCCCGCAAATTTTCTTCTTCTTCTTCTTCTTTTTTCGCCTTTTTTTTTTTAATCTGGCGTTTCGATCGGTGGGCCCCACAACCCGGTGCGATCGCGTCCGTCGATGGGATTGGCGTGAGCGTGGGCTGCCGAGCGCATCCGACGGTCGGGAAACGCGAGATACGCATCGCCCCTTTATTTCCGGTAAAAGAGAAAAAAAAGGAAGGAAAAAAGAAATCGATATTCACACACGCATGTATATCTCTCGAGATCACACACCCAAGCTTGCATGCCAAGTCTGGGGCTGTAAAGGATCCGCTACATCCCTCCACAGCTAACCGCAGCTGCAACCCCCCCCTAATCATCGTTAATTAAGCAAGCTTGATTATATCGAAATCGCGATGATCAACCCAGTCCCAGAAAATCACGTGATATTATAAAAGCGAAAGAATGAACCTAAAAGCATGTCCTTAATACGCGACTTCATCTTGGTCCACGTCCAAATCTCGGAATTACCGGGGCGTAAAACTTCTTGTGGGTTATTGCCCATCGGGAGGAGAGGGACAAGATAAAGATTTCTCAGCAATCGAGAGATGTCGACACGTTAAAATAAGGAACGCATTCATAGAGCCCGCTGTCCTTATACCGAGAAGGTAATCTCGAGAATATGAGAATGTATCCTTCCAGGTAGACCCACGTCGTCATATGCATGGAAAGGAAAAAGGCAACGCGTATTAGGGGTGTGCAAAAGAACCGAGACCCACCCGGACCGCCCGGAACCGCTCGGAACCGGACCGGAACCGGTGGTTCCCAAGGGAATCGGTCCGGTTCCCGGTTCCAATTTTTTGGAACCGGTACTATTTGGGCCGGTTCCCGGTTCCCGGTGTGGAACCGCCCACCCGCCCACCCGGACCGGACCGGTAATATAATAATAATAATAATATATTTTATTTTTTAAATTTTTAATTAAAAAAATCTGACCAAAAAAATTTAAAAAAAGAAGAAAATTTGTTATTATGTCTGAAGCTCTTGTGTAGTTGGGATACCTTGGTCATTTTTCCCAATAATTAATGGGTACTCACTTGATTTATGGATGATGTGGTTCATATAATCGATTATAGTGTAGGAATTGTATGAAAAGTTATGTTCTTTTCCTTTTATTCGTTGATCCGATGTTGGTCCACGTTTTTTTTTTTTATTTGTCTAGGAAAACTTGTTGAGATAGGTTCCATGGACGCCAGAACCAGGACCGCCGGTGCGGATCCGGTTCTCAAGGGTCCATAACCGACGGGCAATGGTTCTCGGTGCCCGATTTTTGGGCCGGTCTCAGAATGGCGGCGGTCACGGTTCCGGGGTGGGAACCACCCACCCGGACCATGCACACCCCTAACGCGTATCACCCTCGTCTCGTCCCCCCACCCCACCCCCAAAAATCGAAGGAACGCGAGGGGGCCGGGCTCGCGTGGGCGAGGGCGCAGGAGATCGAGGCCCCCACCCCCCCAACCAAAACCCGAAACGGAGCGAAATACACAGAAGAGGGAGGAGGGGGTAGACGCAGTGGGTTTTCAGCAAAATTGGGGGAGCTCTCTCTTTCTCTCTCTATCTCTACTCGGAGTCTTTCTCTCTCTCTGATCTCTCTCTTCTTCTTCCTTCCTTGCTTCTTCTTCTTCTTCTCTCCGAAAACCCAGACACGCGCGAAGCCGAAAAGCCCTCTCCATCTCTCTCTCTCTCTCTCTCTAGAGAGAGACTGTGGAACGGAATCGTCGTCGTCGTCGTCGTCCGCCGGAATCGAATCTCCCCGGTGCCGGAAGGACGCCTCCTGGACGGCGCCGCCGCCACCCCTCCGCCCGCCCGGGCCGCCGATCGCCGCGCCGTTCATGCAGCCGCCGCCGCTTGATGCCCTCATTCCCCACAATTCCAAGTCTCTCTCTCTCCTCTCTTCTCTCTCCTCTCTCTCTCTCTCTCCGCTAAAATCCAACCCCCGCACGCAAGCGCACAAACACGCGCGCACACTCTCGCTCGCTTCAGTGTCCGATCAATTTCGTCTCACGCACTCTCTCTCTCTCTCTCTCTCTCTCTCTCTGTGTCCGTACAGGAAGCGAGCGTTCTCGAGGCCAGGTGCGTTCATGGACTCCGACGTCGTCGAAATCCAGCCTCCCGTCCCTCGCCCCTCCAAGGAGGCCAAGCAGAAAGAGGTTCGATCGAAATCGGAAGCGAAAGTCTTTTCCTTTTTCTTTTGCCCTTTTGTGCGTTTTGAGTGTGAATTCGCTTCGATCAGCGAGATTGTTCGCTCGATCGTCCTTCTTTTCGCTCGATTCTGGTCGCTCCGATCGCTCCTCGAGTGTTATACGTGTGACCTGTGTCGAGGGGTTTGGGGCTGCAATTATTGAGTGGAACCTCTCTCTCTTTTTTTTTCCCTGGCTGCTGGGCGAACTAGATGCTGTACGATGATGGAAATTCGCGTCAATCTTGCGTTTCTTTTGTGTCTGGTTGATTGAAATTTGGGTTAGCAACGTTGCAAGGTGGTATTTTTGGGGTTTTTTCTCGATATCACCTTAGGAGAGGAGATTCATGAATGCTGTTAAAAAGTTAAAGAAGCCAATTCACGCTTTCTTCTAATTCCGTAGAATGGATGTTAGGAGGAGATTTGTGAGACGATGTTGTTGTAGGGTCTAGACATTGGAACCCCACCCCCTTCTCAGTATTTGTCTTTGTTGTGGAACTGGATGGAATGCGAAAGGGCTAATTCTATGCTAGGCTTTGGTAATAGGAAAGTTCTCAGTGTGAATCACTTTGTGGTGACCGGATTATTGTTCCAGATAAGGACGTGGAACTGTCAAGCCTGTCAACAACTCTTCAAGAAAATTTCTGTTGAGCTTTTCCTGCTTCGGATTTTATTGGGAAATATCACTGGCCATTTTTACTTTGTCTGCTGAACTATTTGAAGTTCGTTTTCCTTTTATTGCATGATGTCCTTTGTACTTATGCCTATTCTTGAAATTGGATTGAGATGTTGAATATTTTTTGAGCACCAAGGTCTTACACTTTGCCTGGGAATGGGGAGGGTTAATCTAATTGTTGATTAAAATGTATAGGTCAATGTAAGCAGCATGTCGGTGAATGCATAGGCCTAAATGCTTGTCCTTTAAGTTCTAATCAGAAGGAATAGTTTATCCTTTTTAAACCTAAGTGAGGTTTCGTCTGACTTCTAGGCAAAGGGAACTTCTTTTGTTATGTATTCCAACGTAAAGCCAAATGCAGGAAGCGTCGTCTTTCCAACACGCGACGCTCCCATGGCACTATTTATATACACATGCGGGTAACAAAACTGTGAAGCTTGTCGCAAAGGATTTACAATCAAGATTTTGTCATTTGACAATGTGCATTAGGCTCTAGCTCCTGTAACACGGCTCCCTCATTTCATTGATGTTTTAAAGTGCTTCACCTTAAATCCTTTAGTGTCAATGAAGTTGCATCTCTCCGGTTATCTTGCTATATTAAAGCTGCTCAAAGAAACTCATTGGTGGTGCTTGGTTACTCTTTTTAAAACAGCATTAAGTTGCTTGTCTTTCTAGCAACATGGTATTTATGGCGGCATTTTCTTTGTACTGCTATTTTACGCTGCTCTTATCTTTAAGCATGGGCATATCACACTTCCATAAACCGCCGTGCAGGTTGTTTTCCATGAAGTAATTGATATTGACAACGATGATGATTGTGCTGATCTTGTGGTCATTGATAAAAAAGTTGATGCCACGAGGAAAGGCAAAGCGGTGATTGATGTTGATGATTACTGCAATGGTCAAGTAGGGGTACGTGATTCTGATTATTGTAATTTAATTCCAAATTTTTATCTATGATATCATATGACATCGTTTTCTATTCTGCCTCTGTCAAATTGCACTTTGGGTTGTTTAACTGTCCAGTTATCACTTGGATTGCTGAATTTTATTTTGATCCTATTAGTCCACGGACTTGATATTTCATTTCTATACCAAATGGCAAAAGGTGTGGACCAAATCTTCCCTAGATTTGGCTGTTAATCATACTTGGTCTCCTTTGACAGTACCCAAGGCCGAATCTATAGTTGGCATGTGGATTTGGGTGGCCGTCACTTTCTTTTGGTTCTCAGGGCTTAAGTTTGCCATGTCAACACATGTGCACCCTGTTCGTCCAATATTATGCCTGGTGACGGTCATTTGAAACTTAATAAAGCTGGATGCAATGATTTGATATGAAATAATGAACTTGAGTGATATTCTCAGAATATTTTGAAGCTTAGTGTCCGGGGGATCCTAAGTGATAATTTGATTTAGTCAATGTGAAATTGACCCTTCCAAAAGCTCGATGTCTGTAAAAATTCTTTCGCTCATGCCTCTGTTTTATTTAATATTGGATTCAACAGGATGCTGGCACCCCTCCTGTTCATGGTGTCAACGGTAGTGCTGATGGATCAATCAATGGGGGCATTCCGCTTGACGGTTTAGCGCAGGATTCACATGCCTTTGTAAATCTGGATGGCCAAATTTATGATCCATCTTCTTTTGATGATGATTACATGGACGTTTTTGAAGATGTCCTGGATGTTGATGAATACGATACCCTGCAAGCTCATTTTGATAATATGGATATACCTCCAGGTGTGGAAGCACCTATACCTTGGTTGTCGGATCTCCCCAAGTATAAAAACAAGTCTGGTGGTGGAAGTAGTTTGAATGGTTCAAGCTCTCTGACACATGCCAAGGCCTCATTGAGCCTCCAGGAGTTTGAACATATTGGCTTGACCGAGCCTGTGGAAACTCTGGTGAACCATACTTCAGTTAGTAGTCATGGTCTGCCAGGCCAAGTCAACTCAGCGAGTCATCCTACTTTGATGGATACATCAACCCCTTATTTATTCGCACAGAATGGCCAAAGTAAAAAGAATCGTGCTGCTTCACAACGCAGTGGCAATTCCAAGGGCTTGCCATTTGGATTGGAATCATTTAAAGCTCGGCGCCTTTTTGAGCCTTTTCGAAATAAGAAGACGCCAGATGCATCTGGCAGTTCTTCTAAATCCAGTGCTGTAAATAAATTCAATCTCATGAAGCCTCCATCTGGAGCTGAGCCTCCTCCATGGGGCGAAGTTATCAACAACAGCGGAAACAATCCTAGTGGTTCAAGCTATTCATTTGTCTCTGCATTCCCTTTTCAAACAGGCACGCATGCCCCTACTCCTGGATCAGAAGCATTTAATTCATGGATGATGGGCCATCCTAAGCATATCAAGGGTCAATCATATAAACTTCATTCTGCTTATTCTAGTTATGTGTCGCCTTTTCAATCCTCTGTACATACCCTTCCCATGGAAGAGGAAGACGGCAATTGTCCTGATCATTTGACAGAATTTCAAGGTAATGGCGTTGAAGAGGATGTTATGAGAAAGCTTGAGCTTTTTAAACAATTCGACACTGTTCAAGATCATTCTGATCATTATTATACAAGTGATAGTAGTGGAGCGAAGCAAGTGAGTACTCTAAAACATATTTTAAGTAACTCTTTTGATGAAAATTTGTAAGTTATACGGTTCTCTAACTTCTTCAGCCTCACAGCCTTCGAAGAACTGGGCCAAGAGAATACAGGAGGAGTGGAAGATTCTTGAGAAGGATTTGCCAGGTCTGGGGTTGTGTCTCTCACTGTTGTAATTACCTCTTTCTTGGGATCTTTGTGGTTAATTGCCCCTTTGAGGGGGAAGACTCTCTAAAATAAATTCTTCAATGTTCTGATGTTGCTATATTATTTGCATGATCGAGGATAATATCAATTAGCATCTTATATAATTTACTTTTGGCAAAGGCAAAGCCTATGGTAAAAATGAAGTTGGGGAACTGATGTACCTAAATAGTTGATTCAACAAGGTTCTCTGTATTACTTATCAAACAAAGAAAAAAAGAATGAAGCTGGGTTACTAGATGGGACTTATTGGCCTTTCGCTGCCTCAGCAGCAGTGGAGACCATGTTCTGACTCTTTTCCTTGCATGTTATTACCTTCACAGATACCATTTTTGTAAGGGTTTATGAAACACGAATGGATCTCTTGAGGGCTGTAATCATTGGAGCTGAAGGCACCCCTTACCATGACGGTCTTTTCTTCTTTGATGTTTCCTTCCCTTCCGGTTATCCTAATGTACCTCCAGTATGTGTCTGACAGAGGTGTTTTATATTTATTTCATCTTTTCGTGTGTACTGTACACTGATTCTAAGGATCTCAATTTCAGAAAGTTCACTATCATTCTGGTGGGCTTCGCATCAATCCAAATCTGTATAACTGTGGGAAGGTGTGCCTCAGCCTCCTTGGCACTTGGTCTGGTCTTCACAAGAATGAGAAGTGGATTCCTGGCGTTTCAACTGCGCTGCAAGTTCTGGTATCAATACAGGGGCTTATATTGAACTCAAAGCCCTATTTTAATGAGCCTGGATATGAGAGGTCAATGAACACGGAGCAGGGAGAATCAACAGCCATGCAATATAATGAAGATACATTCATCCTATCGCTGAGAACAATGACATATACAATGAAGAGGCCTCCTAAGGTAACACTTGTTTATGTGCATATTCCGCGGATATGATTATAACTACAGGGCCCAAATATGGTACTTGCTTACCTTAGACAATTACATAAGATTATTGTGATTGCCAAATGTGATGTTGAGACTTGCCAATGTTGCATATCAATATATCTGTGACATGGTGTTTGTTCACATTCCTTGACTTCTAGGTCTATGAAATTCCAAATTCTATATGGTGAGGAAGTCTGCTTGTGAGTCCTTGAGTTTATTTGGTACCATACTATTTTTGGTGTGCTTCTCGAATGATATGTTCTTATGTTGGACCTTTCACGTGGAGAGGCATATCTGCTCGACAATAGTAGTTATGTTGGCTGTTTTATTTTTTGTAACCATTAGAGACTGAAGGCGGCGATTTTGCTTAGTATTTTGTGGTGGCTAGCCTTTTATTTTTGCCACCAACTTAATAAAAATGATGACATGGTAAGATTCCTGCATGTGTCTCCTTCAGTTGAGTAAACATATAGATGGAAACAACTGGTTATAGTTGCATAGTTTTGTGGTTGTGGAGTGTTAGGAGTGATCGTTAACATCTATGGCTTGGAAATTAGATTTCTTGGCGAGTATTTGGAGTGTTTTTTTTGTTTATTTGAGAAGAACAGTAGTTTTAAATGTTTTTGGAGAATCCTTTGTACATCTTTGCGATTTATGAATACTACATCATATTTTCCTCTTAAAAAAGACTAATTGAAGTGCATTCAGCTATGTAACATTGGTTCTTTTTTCAATTATGGTTAGGTGCTTCACACTTTATTCAAGTTAGTTGGCATCTTTCATTATGCATGTCTGTTAAGGTTTGTAGACCAGTTTTTCCTGGCTTGGCTGCAACGGGCATCTTGCTGTGGAGTCTTGTTTTATTTTTTCATAAGAAGTTTAATATGAGATGCACCAGGTCTTGCTTTTTCTGAAATTTCTTTTACTCTGGTGTTGTATTTGTACTAATAAAAGGTCAAGTTGAAATTGACCGTGGACTGACCTTATGGATGTTTGCTGGTTCTTTTTGCAGTTCTACAGCGTTTGCAATAAAGGCCTTGCTTAATTCGGTTTATACCCCCACTAATTTGGTCACACACAATCCTGGGAGTCCCTCCCACAATTTCTTCTCTGAAGTCTACTAAATTTTGGAAGAAATTTGAGAGTTGGAGCGCCCTGAAATCTTTTGCATGTTTAAGTTTGTCTCATGTTATTGCGATGTTCTGCATTTATTCCCTGTTGCTTTTTCAATTCTTTTTTGGCGTTGAAATGCAATATCTTTAGCGATTTGTTTTAAGTGAGTCTTTGGATTTTGTATTAGGATTCTAGACATTCTTTTGGCTAACTATAGAGATGCATGTGTCCCTCTTAAATCTACCCGCAATTTGATTCTCATTTCTGGCTGCAGCATTTCGAGGACCTTGTTGTGGGTCATTTCTTCAAGTGCGCTCCAGACATTCTGATGGCTTGTAAAGCATACGTAGAAGGTGCTCAGGTTGGATGCCTTCTTAAAGGTGGTGTACAAGATGTTGATGCAGATCATAGGGGCAGCTCCCGCACCAGCTCCGGCGCCTTTAAGGATACTGTGTCTAAGTATATTCGCCTTCTGGTGAAAGAATTCAGGAGACTTGGGATCAAGGACTTGGAGAAATTTATTCCTCCAGCTCCGGCTCCGGCTCCAGCTCCAGCTCCTGTTCCGGCTCCGGCGACGGAGTGAATATCCAAATAACTTCTTGATTGAGACCAACTTTTTCCGGTAGCAACACAGATTAAGGTTCTTCTGGACTAGGGATCAGTAACTTGCTGGATGTTTTTGCGGATGATTTTGGACAATGTACATAGGTGTAGATATGGATGAGTTATAGAATTCACCTTTGATGATAACATATGTATAGAAGATGTTCTGTTCCGCTGATCGCTGATATGCTACTCATTAATCCTTCCAATCGTGCTTCTAAATTATTCTGCTGTCGTCATCTATTTCCCTGGACCGAGCTCGCCAAGCGTTCTTCCAGCATGTTTCCTATGTTTCTGTCATATTATTGGTAAACGAGTTTGGACCACGTGATTGATCCTAATAGAATGTAACAGTTTGGTGTCTCTTGATAATGGGTTTACTCTGATCACTGTGGCGTTTTGTTCAGCATGCCATCTGATTATTTTACCCCTCATTATTAAATTGATCCAGATGCTGTTCTGATATATTGAACTGTCTGCTCTCGTTTTTGTCAAAAATCTATGATGGGATTAGGAATGTTCATTTGCTTTCTCTGTATTTGTGTAGTTTATTGCCTCTGTAAATAATTTCATCACCAATACAGAATTGGGACTTTTGAAATTTCTATTCTTATTTTTCATATAGCAGGCGTTTAGGTTTCTTTGGGTACTCGACTAATCTAACCGTGTTCTCCATAGTCTCCTAGAGCTTTCGGAGGCATGGTCTGGCATTAGCGAATTGGATTAATCCGTCTCGGCGAAATTGGCGGTTTCTTAATATGTTAGTATATGGAAACAAAATTGGGGTTCTTCCGTTCCTATTGCCTGTCCTCGGTCTCTCCCACTCCAATAAGAGTAGATAGGAGAAGGGCTCCACTCCAAGGCAACTTTGGAAAAGTTCGCCTTGGAATTGTCGCATTCTTCCTTGTCGTCTCGTTTGGTTCGAATTGGAAAATTCCTCGTCTTCGCCGTTGACGTTGACTCGACGCTCGACTGCTGAAGTCTTCGCACGCATCGTCTTCCACGCATTAACTTCGTGGCTCCATTCCAACCGCGTGACAAAACCGACAACGACATTCTGTGTTTTTTTCCAAGAGGAAATGACATTTACATCGTCTATGATGCGTTGCACTGTTCAATCCGCTCCTCGGGCCTTGTCCATGCAAGCCCTATTCATTTGCTTAAGCGACGGGGCAAAAGGCTAGGAGATCTCTCAAATCGGTACTCAATTTTCTACTTGATGCGACGGGATTACTTAGTACGAATGAATAAAGGAACTGTCTCTAGTGATCATGATTTTTGGACGCGGTTATGATAATGAATACCGCTGCAAATTCAAAGTAAATGTTTAGACGATTGTTGGTTGAACGTGATATAAGTATCGTATGAATTACATTTTATTTAAAGATACGGGATATCATATGAAGGTAAATTTGTGACGAGTATACAAGACTTCGTTGCATCCGAGGTTTCATGGGTCTGGGCTAAGACTCCGCTGGCTAAGTTGAAAGATAAATGAGATATCGAGAAATAAAAAGATGATCTTAGATCAAACGTACAAAAGATCAAAGGGAGGCATGAGTGGATGCACTCTCGTGATCATTAACCATTTTGGTGAATGGAAATCCTTGTTCAACCGGAACGTCAACTTGAAGCCTCGACTTCTTTGTGCAGAAGAAGAGAAAAAAGCTTTAAGAGTTGATATCCCTATTGGTGGTGAATCTTATCTTTTGCACGCCATGTCTTGTATTGTAGCAGATGCACAGTCAACATACGGAAGTCTTTGCCAGCTTGGAAATCAAACCCATAATTCATCCACTAGGCCTCTAGCTTATATCTCTTCTCAGTCAGAAGACGAAGTTTTTGTAAATAAAGCCAAAAAATATGGTCCTTAGAGTCCTGTCATCAAGTTCCTCTCACCACATAAATATTCACCGATCACCTCGTCTTTCTCACAATTTCTCCTCCTCACCAAATGGCTACTAAAATTGGATCTCTCAGGCCAGCATGGGTTTTCGCTCTGCTATGCATCTCGCTCTCCATGAGCACGAACCCATCTTGGCATGCAGCTGCAAAACAAATCTCTTACTCCGACCACTGTGCTTCAATTGTCCCTGAAGCCGCTCCCAACATGTATTCACGAGCCACCATGCCACTCTCCGACTATCATCAAGCTGCTTACTACTATCATCAAGCTGCTTACTACACTGGTGGCGAAAACATTCTAGGACCCTCCTCTTCTAGGACGTCCAATTCCGTCTCATTTCGTGTTCGCAACGTCTACAAGACCGATTGCGCCGGGGTGCTCAAGGTCGAAGCAGACCTGAGAATCCAAATCTCGGGTTACGACTACTATGATGGAGGAGACTACTACGGGTATGGTCAGACATACTTAGGAGCCACTCCTGTAAGGGCGGCCAATGGTCGGCGCTGGACTAGGAGTTCCATCACTTTCCAGTTAGAAGGTCTCTGGTCGGAATCTTCGGGGAAGCTCTGTATGGTTGGGTCCTCTCTCTCGAGACGAGGTGACTCTCTGAATCTTGATGTTGTGCTTAAGCTCAATAATGTAAACAATTCTGCTAGTGTCACTAGCTTATTTACTGGCATTTTGGAGAGTTTGAGTCCTTCAGATGACAAGAATTATTTTGATGCCATATCGATGTTGATGTTTCCTCGGAAAAATTACAAGTACAGTTTGGTTTCTGGGAAACTCAATAATGGGAAGAGCAATCTTTCGCCGGGTTTAGCACCCCGGAGTGGAAGCTTCTGTTCGGCTTTCCAGAACCAAGGCAGAGAACTCTATCTTAAATATGCACCTGATTGTAGTCCTGTCAAACACTGCACACCCGTCTCGGGCCCTTCAGGATACTTGCCCCCTGTGATGTCCCTCGATGAAATCGATTGTTCCGAAGGTGAACGGAAGATGCGGGTGTTGCTGCAATATTCAAACAATAGCGACTTTGGGTACTATGGAAAGTTCAATCCGAACTCAACGTTGGTTGGAGAGGCGACGTGGGATGAGAATAAGAACCAACTGCAGATCAAAGCCTGTCAAATCAACGTGGCAGGATCTTTCTCGACTGCTCGTGTTGAGGATTGTTCGGTCCGCATTGAGTTGATGTTCCCAGGAGTGTGGTCAATCAGGGAAAGAGACGTCATTTCAGGTCGCATATGGAGCGAGAAGAGCCAGAAGGATTCAGGTTATTTCCCAGACATTATGCTCCGAGGCACTGAAAGCAGTCTTTGGGAGTTTCCAGACTGGAAGTATAAGTATACTAAAACCGAGAGCGTAAGGAAGCAGTGCCCAGGAAAGAATGATCGGAAAAGTGGAAGAGAAAGATATCCGAATTGGTACTCTCTGGATATGAGGTTCGGCATGTTGGTCAAGAATTCTGAAGGAAAAATAGGCAGCGGATATTCTTACCCTCTCTTTGTTGACGACCAAAAGTATGAGCAAAATGCTTATGACATGTCGGCTTCCAGATTAAATACAGCGACTTCTGTAATTGGGCATAAGACTTCCACTGTTGACAGTCACTCAACCTCAAGCAGCGAGGCCCGATTCAATATCTCGTACCACATTGGCTTCACGGGACTGCAACATGTGAAGGGCAAGAGCAAAAATGCTGTTTTTAATCAGTCTTGGAGTTCAAATGACCGAGTGGAGATTTCTGCAGAAGGGGTTTATGATGCTGAAACCGGTGACCTATGTATGGTGGGATGTAAAAGTGTTGTCTCAACCGTGGAGCAGCGAGCCGACATTTCTCTGGACTGTGATATTCTAATCAAAATGCAGTTTCCTCCCTTGAATTCGAAGAGAAAGCAAGTTTATATTGTGGGAACTATTGAGAGCACGAGGGACAGATCCGATCCGCTTCATTTCGAGAGGCTGAACGTGACTTCCGATGCTCCTTATATGGAGGATGCGAGGCGCTTTTTCTGGAGGTTGGACCTCGAGCTCTCTCTTGTCCTTGCTTCTAATACATTCTTGTGCATCTTCATCGGCCTACAGATCTTTCACGTGAAAAGGCACCCCGAGGTGCTTCCCTTCGTTTCTGTTGCCATGCTCGTGATTCTCACTTTAGGCCAAGCGATCCCTCTCGTGCTCAATATCGAAGCCTTGTTCCTGTACAATCGGAACAGGCAGAACATTTCTCTCGGAAGTGGTCAATGGCTCGAAGTGAACGAGGTGTTGGTGAGGGTAGCCACAATGATAGCTTTCTTGATGCAATTCCGTCTTCTCCAGCTGATTTGGGCCGCAAGAAAGGTGGACGGGGTCGGGGCGGGCTTGTGGTTCCAAGAAAAGAAGGCTTTGATCGTCTCTTTGCTGTTATATGCCGTCGGAGCACTGGCGGCTATTATCTTTAGCTGGAGCAGCTGGTCTGATAACACGGCTATTGATCCCGCTTTTGCAGGTTTTACAAGCAACAGCCAGGGCTTCTCCATCTGGGGAGGCTTGAAATGTTACGCAGGACTAATCTTGGATGGCTTTCTCCTGCCTCAGATTCTGCTCAACGTCTTCAGGAACTCATCTGAGAGGGCCCTTTCAGATTCTTTTTACCTCGGAACGACCTTGGTTCGGCTGCTACCGCACGGTTACGATCTCTTCAGGGCTCAAAGCTACTTGCCACAAGTCTACGGGTCGTACATCTATGGAACTCCGGGAGGAGACTTCTATTCGACTGCTTGGGATGTGATCATTCCTTTAGGAGGGCTCGTTTTCGCAGCGATCATCTTCTTGCAGCAGCGCTTCTGTGGCGCTTGTATCCTGCCCAAGAGGTTCCGAAACTATGTAGCTTATCAGAAGGTACCCGTCGTCGATGACGCGCAGATATGAGAATTTCCGAGCTCATAATAATTTCTAGGATGTAAGCCGGTAACCATGTTTATTAGTTCCCATGTGAGTGGAAGTGGTTGTATGCCCTTGGTCTTTGTTTCTTTCAGCATTTAGAATAAGATATACAACATAGTATCTGTATAAGTGAATCAGATGTTACTTGTGGATTTGCTTTTATATGTACTAGAAAATTTCAATATTTCTCGGCAATAGAGTCATGAAAATGAAAATTTCAAATTCGGATGGGAAAACGACATAAATGATCCCTGAACTTTGATCCAATGTGTAATGTCGTTCCCGAATTTTTAATTTGTAATGTGGTCCCTGAGCTTTAACCCAGTGTGCAATATCGTTGCCAAAATTTTAATTTGTTCAATCTGGTCTTCGGATTTTTGGTCCACGTTCAATCTAACCCCGGATTATATGAAAATGGTCAATATTATTCCCGAACTTTTTCATATAATTTAGAAATTAGTTTGAACATTTACCAAAATTTCAGGGATCAGATCGAACAAATTTAAAGTTTAGGGACAACATTACATATTGGGCCAAGTTTATGGATCATTTGTGTAATCATTCCAATTCGAATTAGTGGGATTACGGAATTTATGGAAATTTTTATTTTTGGTCGAATATGGAAAAATTTGGGGGCTGTATGTAAATTGCACAATCTTGGTGGGCCCAAATTTCTTCTGACAAAAAAAGCCCAAGACCAAGCCCAAGCCCAAGCCCAAGCCCATTTGCAGTTTCCTGTTAACACCGAAAAGCCCTAAAACACTTCTCCCTTCCCAAAAGAAAGGCGAAGACGAAGAGGCAAAACGTCGCAAGCGGTTGCAGAAGCGGCAACAGCTCGAAAACTTGCGCGAGCTATTCGCTGATCGCTCCTCCGCGCTTCGAGATCCTCTCGACTCCTCGCGCCGCCGATGGAGGAAGCCATCGCCACCACCCAGGGCTACCTCTACGAGACCCTGAGCCCGCTCTCTCCGCCCGCCGCCGCCGCCTCCGCCTCGGTCGCCGACCGCTCGTCCTCGCCCTCGCCGCCCGGTGACCGCGAGCCTTACTCGGTGTTCCGGAGCGAGGTCTCCCTCTGGCCGCTCCCCTCCGCTCCCTCCGATGCCGCCGCTGCGCCGGACTACTTCTCCCTCGATGTCGGCGCCGACGCGGAGGAGCCCGAGCCGGTCGAGGCTCCGGCTGCTCCGGTCCCCGCGGCGGCGGAAGTGGCCGAGCCGAAGACGCCGGCTAGGGAACCGGGGACGAGGCTCGAGAGCGGGTGGTTCCGGGGGAATAGCAGGTTCGAGAGCCCCATGCTGCAATTACACAAAGGTAGTTCTGCAGCTTGAGCTTGATTTGCAGTATATCTTCGTCTCCCTGGCTGCAAGTTCATGTAGGTGTAGAAGGAACTTATGAGGTTCGCTGACCTTGTGAAGCGAGCGCGGACGAATGGATGGCATCGGTGTCCAAGTTAATGGCGTGACTAAATTCTAACGCATGTTAACTCCTCTCTTGTGTAAATTTTAAGCCAGGCTGACGGTGCACATAGTACATTAATTAGGAAAAAGCTGTTTTTTCCACGTTTTCAGTTAAATTTTGATTTAGTTAGTACTTTGGTTTGGTGTGTTGCATTCATTCTTGGTTGAGGTTCTGTGTTAAATGCGCTTATGTTTTGGCTATAAAAAACTTTGCCATGCTAGAGTGCTTGTTGGCGAATGAATCTGAATTACTACCTGAACTGTGCTGTGGTGTTGGCACTGCAGAGATTGTGGATTTCTGTGACTTTCTATCACCAACTCCAGAAGAACAAGCCTCGAGGAATGAAGCTGTTAATTCTGTCTTTGGCGTCATTAAATACATATGGCCTAATTGCAACGTATGCATTCCTCCCCCCCCCGGTCTCTCTCTCTCTCTCAACACACATCCCCACACACCCACAGAAGCATGCAATCACACATGCGCGTGCGTGTGTGTACACACTTGCTCATGCTTCGTGCGTATTGATATTTATGTAACTATGTGTATTATGTTATCCTTCATGCTTATTAGGTAGAGGTTTTTGGGTCTTTCCAAACTGGACTTTATCTTCCAACCAGTGATATTGATGTAAGTAAGTGTTTTCTATGCACAATCTTTTCCCCTACTGGATTAATGTTGCTCTGGAAGCTGTACTTAAGTTGTTCTAGTCTGCTGATACTATCCATCGTTATGTGGGTTATTTTTATGATTTATTGTGTTCTTTTTCTAGAAGAGATTTTGTTATTAGGGACTGTTGGAAGCTAAAAGTGTTCTATTTTTAGGTTGTGATCCTAGATTCTGGTATCAGAACTCCACAATTAGGATTACATGCCCTATCCAGGGCATTGTCACAAAAGGGTATTGCAAAAAATATGCAGGTCAGGAACTCTTTGTGAAGTTTTGGTTCATGTCAAAGTCGTGTTCTACTATATGTATTTGGTGGTATTGGTCTTCTATTTGCTGAAGCGGTTGGAAATTTTGCAGGTGATAGCAAAGGCCCGTGTCCCAATTGTTAAATTTGTGGAGAAGAAAAGTGGTGTTGCATTCGATATAAGGTGAAGAAATTATTTTCTTCTTTGATCATTCGTTTGGAAGTTAATTTGCATCATTTGTACTTTTAAGACCTATTCGCGGCATGTAACATGCATGCCAAATATGATATGTTTACTTCCTAGACCTGGCTGTTTGGCAGTCTCTAGTGGTTCTATCTTCTTTTCGTTCAGTCACTTCCATCCCTTTTCTAGTTCAATTTAACGTCTTGTGCTTTTTTTACCGCAATCCGCGTTTTCAATTTTTCAAATGATGTCATGATTTGGAAGGTTTTTTTTTTTAATAACCTACCAATACCAATTGAAGACACGTGGTACAAACCTACTTGAAAAGAGGTATGGACATTGGAACCATGGACAGAGAAAGTCCTGTATGCCAAATATGAGAAGAGTCTGTTTAGTCGTCCAAATTTCCTAGTGAAAAACTCAAAACTTCAACCAAGGTAGAAAGGAACAAAAGGCATCTTCTTGTGCTCTATATGAATGAATGCATGATTAAGTTGATGTAAGATAGTTAGAACTAAAAGCTGTGGCATTGAGATAAATCTTTGTAGAGTTAAGCTTTTAGGACGCCTTTAGTTTATTTCTTTTTTCATTATTATGTCCAATCATTGTCTGGATTTTGTGGGCCCTAAGTATGTGACATGATTTTTTGTTGTCTTTTAGTTGATATTGTAATTCGTTTTCCAATTCTTTTTTTTGAAGAAGCGCTTTGGTAATGATTTGATTTAAGATTTTCAATTTGTGATTGCTAGTGATTCTCTAGAAGTACGGTGCATGCTTGAAACTTTGTATTTTTCTGATGTCACCATGTTGTATTGATTAGATGGAGGTTCCATCTATTTAATGTCCTATTATTAATACGTGCTAATGCTAATTTGACATGTAGATGTACGATTGGCAGGTCATGTACTTAGATTCTTTATTTCTACTTTGTAGGATCAGGCCTTTGTTTCTTTTGCAGTCTTTCTTCATAAAATTTTACATTAAAGCATTTTTTTTCCTTTGATCTCTTACTGTTGATGAATTTGTGAATTTATGCCTTGTAGTTTTGATGTTGACAACGGACCCAAAGCTGCAGAGTTCATCAAGGTTTGTCCCTTTTTTCTCTTCCACATTTTTCCATCGAGCCTTAGAGTGGCAAGCCTGTTTAAGATAAGCTTCTTTACCATGATGGAAGCATTGAGAATTATGCAATGCTGAATAAAAGACATGTTAAAACATGCCTCTAATAGTCAGATGCTCCTAAAAGTTTTCCATCATGGTACAATCTAGATCTGGATTTGCCACCCATGAATTTAGTGAAGGATCTGAATTCTTGAGTTGTTGATACGTGATTGTCATGTATCTAGTTCGTATAGACATTTTTACTGCCTATATTCATGATAGCATGAATTTATCTGTTCGATGACTTTAATGTTTCAGGATTTGAAATATTTAATTTGTGTTTTCTGTCAGGATGCTATATCTAAGTGGCCTCCGTTGCGACCTCTATGTTTGATCTTGAAAGTATTTTTGCAGCAGAGAGAACTGAATGAGGTGCCAGTTGACTATGTCTTGCTAAAGAAATGTTACAGTAACTCTCTTGCCTTTGATCACTGTTTAATCCATGTGTTGCTTGAAGTATGCAGGTTTATTCTGGGGGAATAGGATCTTATGCCCTTCTCACCATGCTGATGGCAATGTTGCGGGTAAGCAATTTTGAGTTCATGATTTGATCTTGACGAGAAGTTTAGATTCGTATCTGGTGCCTCCATATCTTCTCATGTTCAATATCAGTTGCTGAGTTAGAAATTTGTTTCTTAAATGATGTATTTTGCTTATAAAATACAGCAGAAAGTGGGAATTGTCCAAGATGAAAATCTCCAGTACAAAATTTGGTCATGGCTATTTGAATAATTATATTCAATATGATTTTTCTTTTTCAGTATCAGTAAACAATTTTATATTGTCTTCTGGGAACTTACTCTTGTGCGGTAATGTCAGGGACAACATTGAGTATCTGGAATTTCCAATAGACGGAGTGGATTGATGCTTTTCTGCTTGTCTTAACTTGCAAAACTGCCTGTCATTTACTATAAGGAAAACATTATTTAAATTTTCTTAGAAGCCCTAAAAGAGCATGTTACCATGTGAATTCTATTTTTATGCTACTAATGGTAGCTTGACCATTCTGTCATAGTGGCAATATAATTTGGGAACTGCTGTTTTAAATGTAAGCAATTGTATTGTCATCTTTTTGGGGGTCGACAAAAATGTAATTTACTAATGTCAAACCATTTGGAGAGGTCCGGCAGAGACATCAGGAAGTCAGTGAGATGAGTTCTACCATCAAGTCTGGAAAAATGTAGTCTAGAGAGTTCCTCTGTTATATTCAACTTCCATCTCCCCTGTGTCCATTCAGAGCTCAGTGGATTAAGGTGCTGTGTTAGGTAATGCTTAAATGTTGCTTGCTCAAACATGGGTTAGTCGCTTAAATAGCAATGATGTCCCCTGTTTTATATTTTTAATGCTTTCAACTGAATAACTAAGTCAATAGGCAGGACTGGAAGAATTGTACTTACTTAGACTGAGTTAAAACAATTGTATCCTGCTATTTAATACCCAGAAGCTCTATTGGTGTGGTGTATAATCAATCATTGTGCTTATGGATTCTTCTGTGTTCTATATACCTTCAGTACAAATGATTGGCTCAGTGTGATACCCTTTTGATATTACTTTTTCCTTATATTTAACCCTCTCTATTTATTTCATTTATGCTACAGAGTATTCATGAGTGTCAAGCGTTTCGTCAACATAATTTGGGAGTGCTATTGGTATGTACTTTCTAGCAAGTACAATAGACTTGTAAAATTTATTGAGCTTTCCGTCTCTAACCACCTGAACAAGACAATTGTCTTAGTCTAGGTTTTACTGCTCGGAATACATAACTTTCTATTTGATCTTAAGTGACTCTGAAACCTTGTTTCTGTCCATCCTAAACTAGGTGCAATTCTTTGATTTCTATGGACGGAAGCTAAATACGTTGGATGTTGGTGTATCTTGCAGAGGGGCAGGAACATTTTATATGAAGCGGGACAAAGGGTAACCAATTATGATTAATTACTTTTTCCTCGTCAGTGTTGTCTTGAAATTATTCTATATAATAATATACACTATTTTTTTTATACACTAATCTCGGCTTCCCCATCAGGTTTTTAAACAAAGGTCGGCCCTCCTTAATCTCCATTGAGGATCCACAGGTTGGTTCATAAGGATTGATATTTTTCAGTTTAAATATACATGGGACTGCTTGGAGATCCATATTAAGAATTATGCAGTAATTTGGAAATGTTCTCATTCTCAAGTGAGCCCTAGTGGCAGACATTATTCCCAAGCAGGACGAACATTGTTTGGTTTCTTCGCCTGCTTTTGCTTGATTACAGAAGTATAGATGAACAAGATCTTTCTGAGGGATGGCAAAATTTCCCCACTGGGGAGTCCTATGAGGACCCGTCCCAAATGTGGCGGTTGCTACCCATTCACTGTGGGGTATGGGTGTGTAGTGGTGACAGGGACAAATGACAAATCCTTGCTCCGTGGCAGGGACCTGCTCAACCTGCCCTGCATATATATATTTTTAATTTTCATTCTTTTTTTTTGCTAGTTCTAAACGAATTTTTTCTTTATTTTTTATGCTCTTGTGACTATAATCACCGCGTTAATTATTTGAGAAATGTTTTTTCATCTAAAATTCTATGTCCAATTGAGAAATATTTTACCAAGATAGTGATTTACTTGGATTCAATATTACATGTTCCTGATATTACTAAACCATTCATTTCCAGATATCCCTATCAAGATTTTTATAGTTTAGGATCTTCTGTCAGATTTAAGGTTGTTCTTTTAATATGGAAAATTTAGTTTGGGGCTGGGCACCCCACATAATCAAATACAAGGTTGGGATGAGGAGGTTAAAGTTCACCTCGCACGGGGCGTGGGTTGGTGATGGGGAGTGGGGTTAGTGGTGCTGGATGGGGTGGGGAACACTGATCCGCCCTGTCGTGCCTGGTACCTTTTCTATCTCTTCCTTTTTCTCCTTTGGTCGAATGAACCACATCCTTTTCTCTCCTTTTTGTGTCCAAAATTAACTCTAGGAGTTAAGAGAACCTTGAGTGTCGTCTTTGCGTGGGTGATGTACATGGCCAGGTTTGGTGCCTTCATTGGATAAAGAATCTGTTCTACAAATAATGAGTGGTGTCTCGCAAATAATGAATGGTGATCTTTGCTCCGCAAAAAAATTCTTTTTGATGGATTTGCCATGGTATTGACTGTGTGTTTTTTTGTGTGTTCCAGGCTCCTGATAATGACATTGGAAAGAACTCGTTCAATTATTTCCAGGTTTGTTTCTGAATCATCTGATTTCTGTGTGATTACTTCTTGGATTTACGTGTCACATAACCTATGTTCACTTAAATACGTGTACGACATTTATTGTGTGAGAAGGTTGACTTCTGTATCCATACGTGTACGACATTTATGGTAGCGGTTGTTTGTGTTGTTCTGTTTGTTGTTGGTATGAACTACCAACCCTCCCAATTTAAATTGTTATTATATTATGGCCGTAAGTTTGTGGGTATCAAATCAAAGTGTTTGCGTAGAGTTAATCACTTCTCAGTGTAATCTCTACCTATTCTCTTTATCTTTATAAGAAACCTCGAGTGTATTTTACAAATTGTTATAACTTCCAGATTCTAATGCCTCCATGTAGTTCAGTCTTCATATTCATCAAATAAGTGTAAATTTTTTTGAGTGAGTTTGTTGTCCACTTTTGCGTACGGACAAAACAGAAGGATCCTCACTGCTGCTCACACCAGTCATGGTAGGTTGTGTACCATCTAGCATGTGGGTGTATGAGATAACAACTCGTAGGTAAATGGTTTTATTGAATTTTAACTAATTTTAGACTATGGTCTCCGCTCCCCAGTCTCTTTATTTGTTGGGGCTTCATACTGATGCTTTTCTTGGCTTTTCAAACTCATGGTTGATTTCTTGGCCTGTCAAAACTTATACTTGTCGACTCTGGGGATAATCTTTTTTTTTTTGGTAAGGGTCTGGGGATAATCTTTTGGTTTTGTAGACTTGAAAGGAAGAGGGTTTATCTTTGCTGATGCATTTTGTAATTACAGATTAGATCTGCTTTTGCAATGGCCTTCACTACTTTGACGAATTCCAAAGTCATCATGGGCCTTGGGCCCAACAGGAGCATTCTTGGTCTGTTAATCAGACCGGACCCTGTACTGATTGAGCGCAAAGGCGGGTCTAGAGGAGATGTCACTTTTAGTAGCTTGCTCCCTGGGGCGGGGGAATCAGTACAACTGAACCTTGCAGATCCGCCAGAGATGTTTTGCAATTGGCAGTTAGATGATGAGGAAGAGCCACTGCCGCGGGGTAGTGGAGTGTCTGCATCTGTTAGCGAACCTTCGAAGAAGAGAAAATCTGTTTCCAAGGGGAAGTCCGGTAAGAAGAAGGTTAAAGAAGGCGGAGAAGTGGAGACACCGGGGCTTGAAGAGAATGGCACTAAGAAAGAAAAGAGTGCTAAGAAGAGATATCTAATGGGAGACGAGAATGACACTAAGAAAGAGAAGAGTGCTAAGAAGAAATATTTTAGGCATGGTCAGCATAAGACCAATGGTTACAGCCATCATCAAGGCAGTTGTTCTTATTGGAACAGATAATAAGATCTTAAGAGGTGATTCCTGTATGGATTTACTGAAGGTTTCGATGGAGTGAGAGGGAGTCGCACTGCGGAAGCAGGTTCTCTTTGTGGAAGTGTTATTATGCACACCCTCGAAGGCTTGAGGGCAAGTTTTTTGCGGTTGCCCGTACTGAGACCAAGCCTGTTGGAGCCAGAGATATTCAAGACAGTTACTGAGGACAGCCGATTTTCAGTCCTAGGAAATACACCAGTTGCAATAGCCGTCAATTGATAATTTTATGACCACAAGATGTTTAGCAAATCTTCTTTTTTTATGATTCGTCGTCTTAGCAGGTGTAATTTATTCTTTTACATGTCTTCCCAGAAAAGATGCATCTTTTTGAACTCCGGTTCCGTTTCTGACCTTGTTACACGGTTTGTTGTATGTCTTGACCTTGGACCCTCGAGGGGACAAGGTGACGGAACTACGAAGTTTCTGAGCTGCTCTCTGTGTGCAGCGTGCAAAACTATTCGAGAGTGATGTTAGAACTATCAATAAGTGCGACCGGTTTGGTCCTTCCCGTGGAGTGCAACCGCCAAGTTGCTATAGGGCTGAGCTTCTCGCCTGTCGCGCAAAAATGCCTTTTCCCTTGATAGTTGTCATTGTGTTTTCACGCCTATTTTTTCATCCTCGTGTCAGTGTATATGTATGCTAATTCCATCCACAAGAACACGGGACTCCATATAGAGCATTTGCACTCTTTGATGACATTATGGCTTCACATTAGTGATAGTTTCACAAATGGTCAATGAACTTTTGCCAAATGTAAAATGTGATTCATGAACTTTTAATTTATTTGATATGGTCCCTGAACTTTAACTCAACGTATAATATGATCTTTGAATTTTTAACTTGTTAAATGTGATCATTGGATTTTTTGTACATATTCAATTTAGTTCGTGGATTATATGAAAATGTTCAATGTTGTATCATATTGAACAAATCAAAAGTCCAGGGATTATATTGAGCTATAATTCAGCGATCATTCGTGTCATTTTCTCCACAAATACTACTCTATTTATATAAGCCAATTAGTCAAGCATATGGTTACCTTATCAAATTTATTCACACTGAAATTACCAATTTCTAACCTTAGTTGATGATCTATCTCTTTCGTTAGTTCATTCACCTTCATTTTCACTCATTCTCATTTTGATTTCGCAATGCAAAAAAAGAAGAAAAAAGAAGTCATTCCCATCACACCTAGATCGAAGCAACTTGCTCGAGCCCATGTCACAAGCGAGCGAAAAAACGAGAGAGAAACGAAAAAGATCAAAGAAAAAAGAGTTGTTTGAGGCTTCATTTGTTTCATGGAAAATGAATGATTTGAAAAATATTTCTTTTTAGAAATGGTTTTTTATATTACTTGAAATAATTAGCTAATAAAAAGTGTTTTCATTATCGATAATAATATATGTCCAGAAATTTTCTTGAATGATGAAATTTTTTTTTGTTCATTCATTTTTGTGAGTGATATAATAAATTATTTTCAGAAAAATATTTTTTAAATCATTTATTTTTCGCGAAATAAATAGAGCCTCAATTTGTTTTGTGGAGAATGTAACATTTCTAGAAAATCTTTTCCAAGAAGTCATTTTCCTGGAAAATAATAATATTTTCCGGTGTTTGGCTGAAATATGAAAATAAATTAGAAATTTTTTTTTGCCGTTTGGTATGGAAAATATGATTTGATTTTCCTTTGTGCACTTCTTTTAATAATTTTTTATTTTTATTTATTTTTTCTTTTCTTTTCTTTCTCCTTCTTCTTCGGCCGATCGCCGGCCACGACGACGGCCGACAATTGTCGGCCTGTGGTGAGGCTTGAGCTTGCTAGATTTCGGTTGACCTTGAGCTCACCCGTGGCCAGCTCATACTTATCGTCTTAAATCTTATTCAAGTTTATTAGCTAGCGTCTAGTAGGATGAGCGATGTGGACGTAGAATTTTGGTAGTTGAATTTTGGATATGAGTTGATATAATTGGATGCATGTCTGAGATGATATTTATTGGGTTTAGTTGAGTTGAAGATGTATATATATGTTTTGATGGATTATAAAAACTCTGATTCCGTAACCAATTCATTGTTTTATCATATATATAGATGAATATATATTTTAATAATAGGTTAGGTTGGTTTGCGTTCAAGGCTGCGTCCTTCAAAAAGATGGATGACCGTGTCATTCCCCATTCTTGTTGAATTCGGGATGTGACACTATCAAACTTAGAAGATTATTGCATAGATCGGGTGCATAATTACAGTATTCACCTTTTTCACTCTATCTAATATGTTATTTTTAACTCTAACTCTCTTTTGTTTCTCTCAGACTTTTACTCTATCTTTTTGCAAAGCGTAAGAGTCAAACCCCACGACTGAAACTAAACGTTCCCACTCCATCCAATTCCCATACCACTGAGCCATGTGCCCAATGCTCTAATCCTGTTTTTCATGTATTTGTTTTGTTGATGTCCTCCTTTATTGAACTATCTTGAACTGCCCTTATAATCGATTTATTAACTAGTGAGATGATGTTTATCAAAGAAAAAAGCAATCTATTTCAAATTAGCTTCATTGCCCCAAACTACGCCAAAAATTTTTCCATTCGATTTCCTTATATCGAAGAGCACCCTGTTTTCAGTCTATAAGTTAATCTTAAGGATAATTTTTTATTGTTTTCCTTTGAAAACTGATCTAAAAAAGATTACTTTCCTTCTTGTGGATTATGGCACAACAGAATGCATATTACCGCATGAAGAGCATTGCATGTCGAGTTCACCACCCAAGTTTCGATTTGCACCTTACAAAAGGGATGGCGGGGGTAGCTCATGGGCTAGGAATTTCTCAACAAAGGAAGAACCATGTCCTTTGGACGTTCCAACTCTTGACAGTTGCTTGTTTGCCTCAAATTAAACTAATCATGAGCCCGGAGAAGAAGTTAAGAAGAAAACAAAAAGAAAAGAAGCTAAAAATTGCATAAACTAACCTTCAGCATTGAAGTTGACAAAAATAAAAAAAAATTCATCATTGAAGACTTTTGACTTCTAAGGCATCTCATAACCATGAGCCCTAGGAGTGTGCAAAGAAATCGGGAACCGCCCGGAACCGGACCGGACCGTCTCGGAACCGGCGGTTCTCTTGAGGACCGGTCCGGTTCCCGATTCTAATTTACTAGAACCGGTAAGTAACGGTCCGGTTCCCGGTTCTAGGCGTGGAACCGTCCACCCGCCCACCTGGACTGGATCGGTAATATATATATATATATATATAATTTTTTAGAAAATTTTGACCAACAAAAAAAAGAAAACATGTTTAGAAAAATGAGAATCATAAAATCCATAATCTAAAGCTCGACTCTCAACTCCCATCAACTCACGGTCGTGCCTTTAGCCGTTCATCGCCTTCCTCTCTCACTCTCAGGCACCTCTGTTTGCGTGAAACTTGGTGGGACCGGTTCCATGGACCCATCCGGGAATCGGACCGGACTGGCGGTCTGGTTCCCGGGTGGATCCATGGAACCAACGGGCGGTTCCCGATTCTAATTTTTCGGAACCGGTCCTTAGTGGGCGATTTCCAGTTCCATGTCGGGAACCGCCCGTCCGGACCACGCTCACCCCTAATGAGCCCTGTGAAGTGCGTAACTGTGAAGTTTCCTCCGCTTCTTGTTCTTCTCACTTTACAATTTCCCTCAATTTCGCTTTTAGTCTCTGGATCGAACCAACACAAAATATGGCAAATTATACTAGGCACGATAACTTTCTTCTTCTCTTTCATTAGTGAAATCAAGTGTGCCTGTCTCCTTATTTCGGGGTAAATTGTCACTTGTAGTTTTGATGACATATGGTAATTGGGAATGTGCGATAGGTAGGCTTTTCGACGTAGCAAGGATTTCATTTTTCAAATGACGATTCGGTATTTCACTTGAAATCAATATTTGGAAAATACTTTCATAAAAAAAAATTATTTTTAGTTCTCTGAATTATTAGTTAGCAGAAAATATTTTAATTATAAACAACAATTTAAGTATAAACATGTTTGATTGATGATGAACATATTTTTCGTTGATTCATTTTATAAGTAATATCGATAATTATTTTTAAGATTTTTTTTTTCAAATTATTGATTTTTCACGAAATAAATGCAAAATTCACTTTATTACAAAATCGTCCTATCTTGCATAAACATTGGTTCATGCGATGTGACGTCACTAAAGAGGACTAGAAATAGTCTCGAATATCTTTTACAATCTACATGCCTGTCGGCCGGCCCAATTCCCTAAAAAATCCCAAACTTTAGCCTTTGTCCCAATTATATCCCAAACTTTTTTTTGTCTCGTAAAAAACCTCAAACTTTTACTTTTGTCCCAAATCTACCCAGTTAACTTTTCGTCTAATTTTTTAATATTTTTTTTTTTTTTTTTTCGAAATTTTTATTTTTTCTTTTCTTTTTCCTTTCCTTTTCTTTTTTTTTTTTGTTTCATCTTCTGGCCGGTCGCCGGTCCGGCGACCGCCAGCGAGGCGCCGAGGCCGACCTCACCAATGGCCTGGCGGGCCGAGCCTCGCCGTGGTGGGCGAGGCTGGGCCCCACCGGCCGGGCGAGGCTCGGCCTAGCCGTTCCGGGCGAGCCGACCTCGCCGGCGGCCGGCGGGCCGACCTTGCCAATAGCCAGGTGGGCCGAGCCTCGCCGACCACGGCGAGGCTCGGCCCGCCGGCTATTGGCGAGGTCGGCCTCGCCCGGCGGCAGCGTGGCCGAGTTCTCGCCAGATCCGGCGAGGCTCGGCCCCGCCAAGCACCGGGCGAGGTCGGCCTCGCCCAAAGAATCGGCCGAGGTCGGCCGAGGCCGAACCTCGCCATTGCTAGGCGAGGCCGACCTCGCCCATTTGGCGAGAACTCGGCCACGCCGGCGGCCGGCGAGGCTCGGCCTCGCCGGCGTTGGGTGAGGCCGACCTCGCCAATAGCCGGCGGGCCGAGCCTCGCCAGGTGGCCGGGCGAGGCTCGGCCGCACATGGCCGGCGAGGTCGGCTCGCAAAGAACGGGCGAGGCCGAGCCTCGCCGGCCGGCTTGGCGAGGTCGGCCTCGCCCAACGCGGCGGCCGAGCTCGCTACGGCGCACGGGCCGAGCCTCGCCGGCCCCGCCTCTGGCCGGTCGCCGGACCGGCGACCGGCCAGAAGGTGAAACAAAAAAAGAAAGAAAAGGAAAGGAAAAAGAAAAGAAAAAAATAAAAAAATTCGAAAAAATAAAAAATAATATTAAAAAATTGGACGAAAAGTTAACTTGGTAGATTTGGGATAAAAGTAAAAGTTTGGGGTTTTTTATGAGATAAAAAAAAGTTTGGGATATAATTGGGACAAAGGTTAAAGTTTGGGGTTTTTTAGAGAATTGACCCCCCAATGGACAAGGATCAACTAGGTTTCCTACGTTAAAGCGAACCAAAGACTTCTGGCTATTTCCAAGAAGGTGCCCCCCCTGAGGCATACATTGTTGGATCTGCCAGA